TGGCTCTGCACTCAGGACTTACTCCTGGCGGTGCTCAGGGGACCATATGGGATGCCGAGGATCCAACTCGGATTGTGCAAGGCAGACGCCCTCTCACTATACTATCGCTCTGGTCCCACAAGCCACGTGGTTTCTAAATGAAACGGATATTTTTGTATTTTTGTAGTAAGTAATGAAGTCTGAGGAATGAAGGGTCCCTGAGGAGCCAGCGGCAGGCATGTTTACTGTTGAGAAGCTGGGTGAGGAAGTCACTCACCTTCTCTGAGCCTCACCCACCTCAGCGCAAAGTTCTATTATTTTAGACCGCCGAGCTAAGAGCCTTAAAATCTACTTTGCTCTAATATGAGGTAACATACCAGTCCAGGAAAATGCAGCCTCCCTCTAAAAGCAGTTAGGCTGACCTGCAGCAGAGCAGGGAGTGCGGGACAAGCCAGGCCAGCCAGGCAGGGTGCATCTGAATAACGCTCATCTCAGAAACCAAACACTGTCTTATTAGAAGAAAAAAATTATTAATTTTTTTATAAAAAAATTTTTAATAAAAAAATCTATTAATTTTTTGTTGTTGTTGTTTTGGGGCTAGTGTGATAGTACAGTGGGTAGGGCATTTGCTTAGGATGCAACTGACCCAGTTTAATCCCTGGCATCCCATATGGTCCCCCAGCACCACCAGGAGTAATTCCTGAGTGCAGAGCCGGGAGTAACCCCTGAGAATTGTCGGGTATTCCCCCCAATAAATAAATAAATACAATTGAAAAAATAAAAAAATTTTTATGCTTAGTTTTTGGATCACACCCAGCAATGCTCAGGGGTTACTCCTGGATCTGTGCTCAGGATTATTCCTGGTGATGCTCAGGGGACTATAAAGAATGCCTGACATGGAACCTGGGCCAGCTGTGTGCAGGACAAGTGCCCCACACACTACTATCTCATCAGCTCACTTAATCACTTGATCACTCGACTTCCTGTTAATCGCCGATTTGCTCGAGCGGGCACCAGTAACGTCTCCATTTGTCCCTGTCACGTGCTAGTGTAGCCCAATGGCATCTGTACGCTCCGGGAACATGAAGAGCCTCAAACCGATCGTTCATGATCTTGATGAAGAAGTCTGACCAGCTGGTAGGTGGACGGCCACATGGTCTTTTGACATCCCGTGGAATCCAGTCGGTAACGGCTCTAGTCCAGCGGTCGTCTCTAAATCTCATTACGTGACCAGCCCATCTGATTTTTGACACCTTGGCAAATGAGACAGCGTCCCTGATTCTTGATCATCGACGGAGGTCGGAACTCCAGATTTTTTTCTCTCATTTGAGTGAAACGTGATACTCCAAGCATAGCTCTTTCAATTCCTCTTTGGGAGACCCGAATAGCATTCTCATCCTGTTTCAAGAGTGTCGAAGAAATAGCCAAGAGGACGAAGAACTTCATCAGCTCAGAAGGAAAAAAAAGACTTTAATCTCCTGCTCCCTTCTTTTCTATTTCTGAACTTCTCTGACTGGAAGTGAAGTAGGATCTCTTGTCTAGGATCAGTACATTTCACAAAGTCAGAACTCTCTGAAAAAGCTACTTAGAAGACTCTAGAAATGTCATGGCCCAAGAGGAAGTCATTGTCCTAGACTAAGTAAATAGTTAAGCAAATACTTGAATATTTTTTCCACAGAGTTTCAAGAAATTTTCCAGTCCTTAAGCGGTGAGGTTCTTATGTAAGAAATAATCCCTTTTCCCTGCTTTGGCCTCCAGGGACTTAACCTTGGTGCTTACTGCCACCTAGGGGTGTTGGGCTGCATGATCATTTTCTGGAAGACCCTGCTTCTCGGTTCACCCTTGGGTGTTTGTTCTTTCACAGGTTGACCTCTTGATTCATTTGCTATTTGTGGGGGGTATGTAAGAACTTATGCACCTGTGCATGTATGTATGTATGCATATTTATACATATTCATGCATAAGGCTGGAGCGATAGCACAGCGGGTAGGGCGTTTGCCTTGCACGCGGCCAACATGGCCGACCCGAGTTCGATTCCTCCGCCCCTCTCGGAGAGCCCGGCAAGCTACCGAGAGTATTGGATATGCCAGACACAGTAACAATAAAGTCTCCAATGGAGACGTTACTGGGCCCGCTCGAGCAAATCGATGATCAACGGGAGGGCCTTTACCTTTATCTTTACCTTTACCATACATAAGGTTCGTCAAACATTTTAGGAAAGCTGAGTTCCCATATATTCGATTTGTTAATATCTCTTTTGCCTTTGTTTGCATTTTGGAGTTGCACCTAGTGATGCTCAGGAATGACCCCAGGGAACATATATGGTGTTGGGGATTTGAACCAGGGTCTTGGAACCACAGCTGCATGTAGAGTAAGTGCCTTACTGCAACACTCTCTCCAGTCCTGACCATTCCTGGCACGGCTCAGGGGACCATAGGGGTGTGTGTGTGTGTGTGTGTGTGTGTGTGTGTGTGTGTGTGTGTGTGCTCGCGCGCGCGCGCGCGCGCGCGCTAGGGATCTAACCTGGATCAGTCACTTGCAGGGAAAGTACCCTACCCGCCCGACTGGCTCTCTAGCCCCTGGAATGTCCTTCAGACCCCCCCCCCCCCCCACCTCCTTGCTAACATCCTTCTAGTGTCATATGCATTTGTGACTTCCAAAAACCAGGATAGTTACTGCAAACTCAGTGCCACTCTATTTGGATTTCACTTCCTGCTAATGTGGTTGACCTGCTGCAGACCTGTCTGAGCAGATGCTGGTGCCTATCGTTCCCAGTCCTGTGTCTCCTCTGGCCGAGAAAGTTTCTGTTCTAGAGTTCATGGCCTTGACCCTTTCAGGGCTTGGCTGGAGGTTTTTGCAGAAAGGCTCCAGTTTGGTTTGTCTTGGTTTTAACTCTCGGCCGATTCAGGTTCTGGGATTCTAATGAGAGTCCACAGTACTGAAGTGGGCTCGTCACACAGCACAGAACACTTGTGACTTTTGAGGTGACGGACTGCCAGGGCAGACTGGTCTTTGCCAGGTTTTTCCCTGCAAGTCCCTTCTTCCATCTCACAATCCCCTTGGGAACTCACTGCACCCAGAGGGGAGGAAGTTAACCACTGCGGGGAGCAGCCACATAAATGGTAAGTTCTGGGGCCAGAGCAATAGTATAGTAGGGAGGGCATTGGCTTTGCCTGCGGCTGATCTAGGTTCGATCCCGACATCCCATATGGTCCCCATGCCTCCATGGAGAGTGATAGGGTGCAGAGCCAGGAGTAATCCCTAAGCACTGCTCGGTGTGGCCCGCCAAGAAAACCAAAAAAACTAAGGGATCAGGGTGATAGCACAGCTTGGATAGGGCATTTGCTTTGCACACGGCCAACCTGAGTTCAATCCCCAGCATCCCATATGGTCCCTCGAGTACTGCCAGGAGTAATTCCTGAGTGCACAGCCAGGTGTAACCCAATAATAAAATTAAAAACTAAAAAAGATGTTATGTTCTGCAAGTTCCACAGGCCTCTTCTCCCAGTGCTCCTTCTTTAATTCCTTCACAGCAAGCAAGAGCTCATAGCTATTTATTTACTTTGGTGGGGGTAGGTGGCACACCTACCATGCTCAGGGTTTCTGGTTCTGCAGTGTGATTGCTCCAAATGGCTCCAGGGAACCAAAGGCCTCTTTAGGTTCCAAGGCAAACATGCTCTCTTCATTTTATTGAAGAAACTGTCTTCACAAGGGGGATGTGGCTCTCTTTCTCTTGGTTTTTGGGCCACACCCAGCAACGCTCAGTTGTTACTCCTGGCCCTGCACTCAGGGGTCACACCTGGCAGTGTCTGACGGACCATAAGGGATGCTGAGGATTGAATCCGGGGTCCACCGCGGGCCAGGCAAGCACCCGCCCCGCTGTTCCTACCACTCTGGCCGCCCCCCCCCCCCCCCACGTCCTCCTGAAACTTTTTTTGTGATGGAAGATCACCCACCGCCCTGGGTGATGGGTAGGATCCAGGGCGGACTTGTCCTGCAAAGAGCGATGCTTCGTTTTGGGGGGTCTGGGTGCCCGGTTGGGCTCTCTGAGAAATGCAGTGACTCTTGGACAGCCACGGGGTGGGGCTGGGGCTGGCAGAGACAGACGTAAAACCCGGACCAGGCAGATGCTCAGGGGGCGCCTCTCCCCAGCAGCACCCCTGAACGTCCCTGGGCACCTTCTGGGCTTTAGGACGGCGGCGTCGGACGCCGGGTGGGGGGCGAGTCCCGATCGGGCCCACCCGACGCCGAGTTCTCAGAATTCACTCCATCTGGCCGGAACCGCCTCATTTGAGCCGGGGGGCGGGGCTGAGAGACACCCCCCCCCCACGCCTCCGGGAGCCCCGCTCTGCAGACACCTCCGTGTGGACCGGGAGGCCGGGACCACTGCCCCCTCCCTTCTGGAACCTTCTCGGGGGGGGGTGGGGGGGGCAATCGATCTCCTCCAGCGGCCGCTCCCGGAGGGTTCCCGGGCCCCTGTCGCGGAGGGGCCTCACGCCACGGCAGCCCCCGCCAGATCCCCCCGCCCCTACCCCCACCCCCGGGCGCCGTCGAGCGAGCGGGAGGCGCCCCGCGGCCCGTGAGGTGGGCGCGACGGCGGGAGCGACACGACCCGTGTCGGCTGCGGCGGCGGCGGCGCAGCTCTGATGTCGCGAGAGCGCGGGGCGGGGGTGGGGGCGGGAGCAGCGGGCGCGACTTCCGGCCCGGCCCGGAAGTGAGTCCCGACCGCGGCGGCTTCCGGGACGGCGGGCGGGCGGGCCGACCCGGACAGGAAGGTGAGCTCTGGGGCCTGTCGGGCTCCGCAGGCTCGGCCGGCGCCCGCCGCCCGCCACGGGGCTCGGGCGCTGCAGGGCGGAGGGGTGCGAGCCGCCGCCCGACGCCGCGCGGGGCGCCCGGGGTGCCGCCGGGTCCGCTCGCCCCGACGTGGGGGTCCTCCCCCCTCCCCCCCGCCCCAAGCCCCCCCATCCCCATCCCACGCCGCGTCTCGTCGCGCTCCGGCCCCAGCGACTCGCGCTCCCCGCGCTCCCGGGCGCCTCTGGCAGAGGGCGGCGCGCTCTGCCATGCCCAAGCCGCCCGAGTATTCCGAGCTGAGCGACTCTTTAACGCTTCCCGTGGCGACAGGAAGATTTCCAGGACCCCTGTAAGTGTTGAGGAGTCGCCGCCGTCGAGTCTCGGGGGTCCCATCTCACCGCCCCGCCCCACCCCCCCGACGCTGGTCGGATGCGCGCAGTCGGGATGCGAACGGCCCAGGTGGGAAGAGCCCCCAGTTAGCAAGTCAGTTTCATCCCCGTTTCCCGAGGGAAGAGGTCCCCGCAGCCTGGCGACCCCGGCCGGTGACATCTCGTCTCCCGGCGTGGTGGCACCGGGCTGGGGGACGCTCATGAGATGCACGAGACTCATTCCGGAAACTTTTCCTCCTCCTCCCGCCTGACCTCCCAAACCACCTGTTCATTATTTCCCCGTTTCCGAACCAGCATCGGTCGGTTAGGTGGTGCCGAGGATAGGCGTGTTTGTGTGTGTGTGTGTGTGTCGGGGGTGCCAAGGACAGGCGTGTGTGTGTGTGTCGGGGGTGCATTTCAGAGCCGCCTGTGTGTGTCTCTCTGTGTGTGTGTGGTTGGTCCTGACCTCCCAAACCACCTGTTCATTGTTTCCCCGTTTCCGACCAGCATCGGTCGGTTGGGTGGTGCCAAGGACAGGCATGTGTGTGTGTGTGTGTGTCGGGGGTGCATTTCAGAACCGCCTGTGTGTGTGTCGGGGGTGCATTTCAGAACCGCCTGGCAAGAAAGTGGGTGCATGTGTTGCCATGACAGCAGGACCGGGCCCCCTAACCCGCTTTTTTTTTTTTCCTTTCTTTTTTTTGCTTTTTTCCACCCAAAGGCACAGAGCATGGAGAATGATGAACTTCCGCCAGCGGATGGGATGGATCGGCGTGGGGCTGTATCTGTTAGCGAGCGCCGCGGCGTTTTACTACGTGTTTGAGATCAATGAGACTTACAACAGGCTGGCCCTGGAACACACCCAGCAGCACCCGGCCGAGCCCCGGGACGGGGCCACATGGACGCATTCCTTGAAAGCGCGGCTCCTCTCCCTGCCCTTCTGGGTGTGGACAGTTATTTTCCTCATTCCTTACTTACAGATGTTTTTGTTCCTTTATTCTTGCACCAGAGCTGACCCTAAGACGGTGGGCTATTGCATTATCCCCATTTGCCTGGCGGTCGTTTGCAATCGCCACCAGGCATTTGTCAAGGCTTCCAATCAGATCAGCAGACTACAACTGATTGACACGTAAAGTCGTTTTTTTTTTTTTTCCTTCTGATGGCTCAATAGCCTGGTCATAAGACTGCAGTTTCTTCACAGATCTCAGGAAGTTGTGGTGGAGCGGGGCATTTTTGGAAACAAATGTGACTAGGGGGCTATCTTTATCTGAATGATTTTTTTTTTTTTTAGGCCAAGCCTGAGACAGAGTACTACCAAATCATGTTGATGACTTAAGATTTTGGAAGTAAAATCGTGTCTGTTATTTGCATTCTTTTAGAAACTTGAATAAGTACCTGAAGTCATATTTTTATTCTACTGTGCAGCATAGTGATTCAGAATTTTTTTTTCCTATGGGGAAGAAATGAGTATGAACATTTCCATTGTGTTGAATGTAAAAAGGTCCAAACATGGTCATAAAATTTAAATTTTATATGATTATCTGGCTTGCTTTAGAATTCTTCAAATGAAAGTACTTTCGTATCCTACCGTAGCTAAGCCAACTATGCTTATTGGCTCAGTTTACGAGAATGGTATAAAATCACTGAGGTGATGGTTGTCTGAAGCAGAATTTGTTTTTTTTGATAATGGCATAAACTGGTTTCATTAATGGCCTACTATTTAGAAAGTTACTTTGAAAGCTGAGAAACCTAGCATACATAGAGGTGAAAACTATTTAGTGACAATGTTAGCTCCATGCCTGTCAGATATACCAATAACCTCGAAGAGTTCAATCCTTTTAATTTATCAGTGGCTGACTAAGGGTAATCCTGTATGTTTACTTTGCATCTGTACTTAATGACCTCTTATCTCTGTACAGATAACAAAAAAAAATGGAAATACTAGGTTTTAGGATCTATTTTTTTCTGGACAAGCTCCAGATAGGTTTTAATAGTTCATGATTAATACCAGGGAAGTGTGTTTTTTTCCGGTAGGTTTGACTGGTCATGACCTGTTGGGCCCTAGTCTTAAGTTTTGTGAATGAACTCATTTAATCGTCCCTATAAAATCTAAGCTACAGTTCCTCGTATTTCATCCCTAAGAAGACAGGAGAGCTTATGTAGCTTGCTCTGGTAGCAGGGCTGGAGGTGAGCTGGAGTGCTGTTCAGGAGGAGGTTGAAACACAGGTCTGGCCTGTCCTCATGAAAGATTGAAACTGGCAGGAAAAACCCCAGACAAATTCTTCGCCACTCATCAGAACTATGGAAAATTAGCAGCAGCAACCTTATGTCTGATTTGACCAGAATGAAAGGTGGAGCATCCCTGGAGCAAGCTTGTGTTTGAAAGGTAAGCAGGTACACTTTGGTACTCAAAAGCAGCAGGATCCGCTTTCTGCAGTTAACCTCGTTTCTCCCCTCTCGCCTCCAAAGGTCTAGTTGCTGAACTGTATTTTTGGATACAGTACCGGACTCTGCCAAGTAGCAGTCGTCTGAAATACATTGCTCCTGTGGAGCTTAGCTAACTGATTTTGCCTTTTTTTTCTTTTTGGGCCACACCCAGTGATGCTCAGAGGTTACTCCTGGTTCTACACTCAGGAATTACACCTGGCGGTGCTTGGGGGGACCATATGAGATGCTGGGGATCGAACCTGGGTCGGTTATGTGCAAGGCAAACGCCCTACCCACTGTGCTATCGCTCCAGCCCCTGAGCTTGACTCTTGACTGACAACAGGACGGTTGCAGGAGTTCTGATTGATTCACAGTCTAGTGTTCTTCCCTAGTCCTATGAGGCAGGTGTATTCTGGTCCTAGTGCCACTTTACAGAGGAGAAAAAGGAAGAAACCAGAAGGCCAGAGGAATAACTTGTTCACCATCACACAGCAAGTGGAAGAGGCAGAATTTGACCCCGGGAGTTCTCGCTGAGTCTCCAACTCTAATGCACTAGTGCTTCTCAGTAAGAGTTGGAAGACATCACTGAACAATTCCCTGTTTTGAGTAATCTTGGGGATAATTTAGAAATGGTTTATGAAAATTATTTCATGATTCCAGTAATGCAATGTTTGTCAGTTTTCTGCTTGCCTTATAAAATAATTCTGGGGCCAGAGTGATAGGACAGTGGGTACGGTGCTCACCTTGCACATGCAGCTGACTGGCCTGGCCTGGATCTGATCCCTGGCACCCGATATGGTCCCCCGAAACCTGCCAGAAGTGACCCCTGAGCACGAAGCCTGAGATCAGTCACTCTGATTGACCACCATTGGCTGTAGCCCCAAACACCACCTCAGTACTTTTTATTTAAGTAGTTTCTTATACTTAGTTCTAGTATTTGGGGGACCAGAGAGATAGTATAGTGGGTAGGGTGCTTGTCTTGCCTAAGGCTGACCCTGGTTCAATCCCTAGCATCCCGTGTCATTCCCCAAGCACTGCCAAGACAAATTTCTGAGTGCAGAAATGGAAGTAACCCCTAAGCATCACTGAATGTGGTTCAAAAACAAAAACGTTTAACAGAAAAATTCTAGTATTTGGGGATCCCGCCCGCACAGCAGAGCCTGGCAAGCTCCTTGTGGCGTCTTTTCGATATGCCAGACAGTAACAAGTCTCACAATGGAGACGTTACTGGTGCCTGCTCGAACAAATCGATGAACAATGGGAGGACAGTGCTACAGATTTCAACTAGTTCTCTCATTTGGAAGAGACATTTTCCCTTAGAAATATGGTTTCTCCAGCTACGGAGATGACTAAAGGGCTTCGCATGTTTGTGGGTTTGATTCTTGGAATGGTACACTGTCCACACTCAGTGGGAGGATCCAAAAGCAATATATAAATAGGCCTTCCCAGTGAAAGTTGAAAAATACTGGGTGGGGCGAGTGTGATAGTCTAGCTGGCAGCATGACTGCCCTGCACACAGCCAACCCAGATGCCTGGCAATGTAGAGGGTCCTGAGTCCTGCCAGGACTGACCCCCAATCACAGAGCCATGAGTATGCCCTGAGTATCATTACCAGGTGGGGCCCAAAACTCAGAAAACCAAAGAGCCAAAAAGATTGTGTGTAGGGCTAGAGAGAGCTCAAGGGGCTGAACATTCATGCAGAAGCCTGGGCTTGATCAGTGTCATTCCTGCCCCTCCCCCAGGACGGACGGACCCAGGCACCACCAGCTTGACCCCAAAACAAAAGATTCTTAGGTGCTTGCCTTGCATGCATCTGACTCAGGTAGGATCCTTGGCATCCTGTATGGTCCTCTGAGCAGTCAGGAGTAATTCCTGCATGCAAAGCCAGAAGCCCTGAGCACTACCACGTATGGCCCAATCCTTACCCTCACCGAAAAAGATTCTTAGAATCTGAAGAAATCATTCTAATAAAGTCCGTTTCCTAATAGTGGGTCGTGTCCTTGCCCTGCATGTGGCTGACCTGAGGGTTCAATCCCTAGCAAGCTCTATGGTCTTGAGTCTAGCAGGAGTGGTCCTGGCTTTCTGCGCATGGCTGGATATGGTCCAAATCCATCCCCCTCCCCAAATACAGTACATTTCCTAATACAAGCATGGAAAGGTGTTGGCTGACACAGAAATACACTGTCCAGAAAACCAGCAAAGATATTTTGAAGGAAACTAAGTAGAAACCTAAAGGATGAAAAATTGCTTGTATGGAGGCTGCTAGTTAAGAGTAAATCCTGAGTATGGTCACCTCTAAACTGGGGGCTAAAAACTGATTTCCAGGGCAGAGATAACACAGCAGGTAAGGTGTCTGCCTTGCATGCGGCAGACCTGGGTGTAATCCAGTTCCTGAGCACCTTCAGGAGTGATCTTTGAGTGCAGAGCCAGGAATAACAGAAGCCAAAACCAACCAGAATTCCTTATCTAATTTACAACCAAGCAAACTAGATAACAAAAGTCTTATCCTGGATCACCTTTTAAAGTATGTATATCCTTATTTTTTGCATTTCAGTTATTGTAAATAACCTCTTGAGCCAGAGATAGTACAGCTGGTAAGGTGGTTGCCTTGCATAGTCAACCCAGATTCAGTCCCTAGCAAACCATATTGTTCCCTGAGGCTCATGGGAGATCCCTGAGTACAGAGCCAGGAGTAAACCCGGAGTACTGCAGGGTGTGACCCCCAAACAGAAAGCCTCAGTTCATCTGAAAAGAAAAAAAGACACGTATGTACAGATAATTTTAAAAATGTCTATTTAAAAAATTCAGTAGTCCTTTGTTAAAAATTAAAATATGGGCACAATGAGAAAGTTTAAAGAATTGTGCACGCATAGTGCATATACACATATAAGAACAGGTCACAACGAAAAACATACTCCTTTGCCTCTCTTGGGTAGAAGTCAAATAGAGATTTGTTAAGAGACAGCCTCATCTCTGAATGTCCGTACACTGGGTTTCTCTGGGCGTCAAGAGCTCTGTTTTCTGTTCAGTATTTCTATTCATTTTCCTTCTGTTTACACAAACGCTATTCTCCAATACCCAACTCTATTCTTACTTGAACCAAAACACTGTCCATGTAACAGGACAGACTCTTGGGTCTCACCCGGTGGCGGGCTGAGTCCTGGCTCTGAGCTCAGGGATCACTCCCAGGCTCAGGGAATTATATGGGATGCTGGGAATTGATCTTGGGTTGGCTGTGTGCAAGGCAAATGCCTGCCCTGCTGCATTCTGACAACCAAGTTAAGAAGATACAGGCATCACACGACTCACTTTAAAAATAAAGTAGAACACAATAAAAATTCACTTGCTAACTTAGAAGACTTGATAGGTTACTGAGTGCTCTATTTTATTTCTATGGGCTGCAATTTCTCACTCAAGAAAGCAGATTCATTTTTAAATTTTTATTTTCTTTCTTTGCTGCAAACAGAAGAAAAATTTTTTGACATAATTGTCTCAGAGGAACAAATCATGTTTTTCCAAATTATACCATGATCTTCTATCAGTTGGTGCATGGCAACTAAGTAGCCGTCTTTTAAAAGTCAGAAAAGCTTATTAAGTTGAATTTTTAAATCGTTTCGCAGATGGTTCTTCTGAGTTACCGTTGTTAGCAGCAGTGTTATTTTCTTCTTCCTCCTCCTCTTCTTCATTATCACCTTTTAAAATAAATATTTGTGGTATGACAATACATTCAGTGGTTTCAAGAAATACAGCTTAAAAAGATCAATGCACGTCTCATTTTAGGGATTAATAAACACTATGCATAAACCAGAAAATGTATGGTTAAAATTTCAGAAACTGGTTTAAACTTTTTCTTTTCTATCACAATTGGGGGTGGGGAAGCCATAGGCAGTTGTGCCTAGAGTATCATTCCTGGCAGGCTCACGGAACTACATGGGGTGCCTGGGATGGAATGTGGGTTGGCCACATGCAAAACAAATGCTCTGCTATCTCTCTGGCCCCTCTATCACTTTTGAGGTATAGTTCGTATGTCATCATCCACTCTTTAGAGAGGACAGGTTTTTTGATTTTTAGTAAGTCCACAAACACTACTGCCCATTTCCCTCAGTCCTTGGCATCGGTAAATTGTCCATTCTGTACACTTCGCATAAATAAAATCATACAATGAGATCTTTGTCTCCTTTCTTCCACTCAGCATGTTAGCATGATTCATTCAGATGATAGCACTTGTCAGTATATAGTTATGTAATTCCTTTTCACCGCAGGGCTACAGTATATATTTTGCCTAGTGTATATATGCAGAATATGTATTTTGATTCCCTATTTTTTACTGTATGGCTCAAGTATATATTTTATCTATCCATTCATCAGCCAATGGACATTGTGATGTTTCCCTCTTTCAGCTATTCTGGAGATCACTGCACATTCATGCACACATTTTTGCATGAACTGTTTCCAGTTCTCAAGCTGAACTAGGAGTCCCTAAGGATCACATGGCAACTTCAGCTTCTGGGGGAAACTATCAAAATGACTCCCAAAGATGGTTACAGCATTTTACATAACTACCTCCAATCGGCCACATGTGGCTAATTACCGCCACCATCACAGTCTGAAAGTGGGATTTCATCCAGGCTTTGATCAACATATTTTCCTGTGAATGAATGATATCGAGAGCATTTTCCCCAGGCTCTTAGGGGCCACCTGTCCATCTCAACTGGATCACCTCTGCACAGTGGTCACCAGCTCCCCGTCTTTTCAGTGCTGCAATCACTTTTCTTTAGTAATCGTAATTCTGTACAGTCATTTTCTGTTTGAAAGGTTCTGTATCCTATGTGTTTAACCGAGATAGAAGTCACACAGCAAGGGTCCCCGTTTCCATCTCTAGCAACCCTTTTCCCCAGGGAATTCCGGCTCTGGGCAAGGGAACTCACAAACCACACACACACAGCTCCTGCTCACACGGTCTTTATGACCCCCCCCCCCCCAACGGCTCCTGCTCACACGGTCTCTCTCTACACACAGACACAGACACACACACACACCCAACGGCTCCTGCTCACACGGGTTCTCTCTCTATACACACACACACACACACACACACACACACACACACACACACACAATGGCTCCTGCTCACACGGTCTCTCTACACAACCCCCCCCCCCAACGGCTCCTGCTCACACGGTCTCTACACAAACACACACACACCCCAACAGCTCCTGCCCTCACGGTCTCTACACACACACACACACACACACACACGTCTCCTGCTCACACGGTCTCTCTCTACACACAGACACACACACCCAACGGCTCTCTCTCTCTACACACACACACACACACACACACACACACACAAATGGCTCCTGCTCACACGGTCTCTCTACACAAACAACCCCCCCCCAACGGTTCCTGCTCACACGGTCTCTACACAAACACACACACCCCAACAGCTCCTGCTCTCACGGTCTCTATACACACACACACACACACAACATCTCCTGCTCACACAGTCTCCACACACACACACACACACACACACACACCAACGGCTCCTGCTCACACGGTCTATCTCTACACACCCCCCCCAACGGCTCCTGCTCACACGGTCTCTACACACACACACACACACACACACACACACCCCAACGGCTCCTGCTCATACGGTCTCTACACACACCCACACACAGCCCAATGGCTCCTGCTCACACGGTCTCTATACATACACACACACACACCCCAACGGCTCCTGCTCACACGGTCTATCTCTACACCCCCCCCCCCCCCACGGCTCCTGCTCACACGGTCTCTACACACACACACACACACACACACACACACACCCCAACGGCTCCTGCTCATACGGTCTCTACACACACCCACACACAGCCCAATGGCTCCTGCTCACACGGTCTTTCTGCCCACGAGACCCCTTGGGAAAGATCAGACGGGGAAGAACCCCGCCCCCCCTCCCCCACCGAGGTGGCAGCCCCCAAAGAACCGATTCGTCCGTGGATGGCGGCGAGAGCGCGGCTCCTCCCACTCCCACGGGCGCGCGCGGCGGCCGGGGTGGGGGAGGGGGGGCGCCAGTCCGGCCAAGGCCGCCGCCCGCGCCGCCCCCACCCAGGCCCCTCCCCGGCCGGCCGGGATGCTGACGGCGACGGCGGGGGCGGCGTCGTCGTCTCGGGGAGGGGTGCGGGTGGGGGCGGCCGGCCGGGCCCGGTCTCCCCTGAGTGGCGCCCCTCCCCCACCCCGAGCCCGCCCCGCGCGAGCCTGCCCTTCGCGGGGGGTGTGTCCCGGGGGACCCCGCGGCCCGAGCGAGGGTCGCGACGGGCCCCCCGCGCCTCACCCGTCTGAGCGTTCCACAGGGACGGGCGCTGAGTCGCAGGGCTCCCCCGTCAGTCAGTCAGTCTGCGGGGCCCGGCCCCGGGCCTGGCGCGGGGGCGGGGCCGGCGGGCCGAGCGCCGCGAGGAGCCACGGAGCGCAGGCAACGCCGGAGTGCAGGCCCGTCCGGGGACTCCTCTGGAACGCGGCGACCGGGGGTGGGGGGGTCTTCTCCCCTCCCCCACCCGCAGGGCGCCCCCGGGGGCCTGCCGGGGGACCAACCGCTCAGGGCTCACCGTCCGAGGCCTCCTCCTCCTCCTCGGAGTCGGACGCCTCGATCGGGTTCTGAACGGCCTCCAAGAGCTCGTTCACCATCTCCCGCATGCGCGCCATGCCCGTCAGCAGCCGCCGGTACGGGTCGCCGTTGCCGGGGCCCAGGAAGGTGGCCCGCAGCTCCTGCTGCTGCCCGTCCTGGCCCGTGTAGTTGCCCGACACGTCCATGGCGACCGCGGGGGGCTCGCTCGGCCGACTGCGCCCAGCGGCCCCGCTGCCCCGGAAGCGGAAGGCCGCCCCGGGCCCTCCCCCCCTACGCGCCACTTCCGCCGGAAGCCGCTCCGCCCCGAGCCCCGTCGCGTCCCTCCGCGGGATTGGCCGGCGGCGGCCCGGTCCCGCCTCCTCCGGCCACGCCCCCCCGCCGCGGCTTTTTCCCGCCTCCGCCGCCGCGACCGGCCGAGCGCTGGCGGGTCCCGGTGACAGTTGAGGATGGCCGGCGCCGAGGGGGCGGCGGGGCGGCCGTCGTCGGAGCTGGAGCCCGTCGTCTCGCTGGTCGATGTGCTCGAGGAGGACGAGGAGCTGGAGAACGAGGCTTGCGCCGTCCTGGGCGGGAGCGACTCGGAGAAGTGCTCCTACTCGCAGGTGGGCGCGCGGCGGCCCGACGGCGCGTCCCCCCCGCCCCCCCCCCCCCACCCCGGGCTCCCCCGAACCTTCTTGTCCCGCCCGGCCCGGTGCTCGCCGACCCGTGCACGTGGGTCCGCGGGTCCGTGTGTCCTCAGGGCCGGCTCGGAGGCCCCGCCCGGGCCCGGCCGTCCGCCTCCCGCCGCCCCCAGCTTTTCCCGGGAGACCCCCCCCGGCGCCCCCCTCCTCGGAGGAGCGTTTGCTACGCAGCAGAGGCCAAAGGAGGACCCCCGGCCTGCACCCCGGGCTGGGCGGGACTCCTGCACGCCTCCGGGGCTTTGGGGGAGCCCCGGCTGCAGGTCCGAGCCCCGCCAAGCCCCCCTCCCCCTCCCCCCCGGGTTGGAGGGGGGAGGCGCAGAGACCCCTGCATCGGGGAAACAGTTGCCAGCAAGGTTTTGCAGGGGGCGTGATGTGCTCGGTGACTCATCGGTGGCGGGGATAGCTGGGGGGGGGGGGAGGCGGGGATGAGAAGGGCCGAGGGAGGCCAGGAGGCCTGCCGAGGCAGGGAGGAGGGGGGAGAGCAGCGATGGGGGGGTTGGGGGGGACGCGTTTTCGAGGGGGAGGGGAGGGCGGTGCCACACCCAGTGGTGCTCCAGGCTTAGTCCTGACTCTGAGCTCGTGGGGGTCACTCCCTGTGGATTCGGGGACCAGCTGGGGTGAAGGGCAGAAGCCCGGCCAGCTGGACCCTGGCTCCAGGGAGCCCCTGCAGTGGTCCTGGGGTGGGCGGGGAGCGAGAGGGGGGCAGGGACCCCTGCGCGGTGCGGGCACTGAAGTCATAATCCCCCGGCGTCCTTGAGCACCTGGATTTGCACTGCCGAGCAGCTGGATTGTTGGATCAACCTGATACAGAAATAAGTGCAGATGTTGACCGACCTTTTAGAGCAATGGGAGCTGAAATAACTTCCTCTCCCTTTTCCTTTAAGAGAAAAAAAAAAAGCAAAAAAACACTGTAGGTTGGAGCAGTAGTACAGTAGGGAGGGCGTTGGCTTTGCACATCAAGGGGTTCCATCCCTGGCCCCATCTAGGGTCCCCATAGGGTCCAGCCAGGGGTGATCTACAACCAGGTGTGGCCCCCACAGACCCACAGAACAAAGCAAGAGAAATTATGTCAGCCTTTTTTTTTTTTTTTTTTTTGCTTTTTGGCTCACACCCGGCGATGCACAGGGGTTACTCCTGGCTCTGCACTCAGGAATCACTCCTGGCAGTGCTCAGGGGACCATATGGGATGCTGGGAATCGAACCCGGGTCGGACGCATGCAAGGCAGACACCCTACCTGCTGTGCTATTGCTCCAGCCCCCCTTATTTTATTTTTGAGGTCACACCCAGTTGTGCTCAGGGGTTCCTCCTGGGCTCTGCACTCAGGAATCACTCCTGGTGGGGCTGGGAGACCACATGGGATGCCGGAAATCAAAAATAAAGATAAAACAGAAGCTGTAAAAAATGACTCTACTAGAGGTACACAAGTGCTGTAATCGTCTTTCATCTTATTCGTAGATTTAAAAAGTTTCAAGATAGAAAGCTGGAGGAAAACTCAGCAAAGCTTTTAGAAGTTCTGGCACCAAGGGTGCAGCTCTGTGGCAGGGCACGTGCTTTGCATGTATGTGGCCTGGGTTTAACCCTGGTACCAAAACCCAAAAGGCAAAAAAGAAACTTGGGAGGGAGGGGCACACAGAGATAGCTCAGTGGACTGCACACGTGCTCTGAATGCAAGATACACGAGTTCGAACCCCCTCCACCACATGATCCCCAAAGCACCTCTGGGAATGACCCCCAAAGTACCACCCCTAAAAACAATATCCAAGCACAGAGCCATGGGTGGCCTAAAAAAGTTTTAAAAATTAAAAAAAAAAAAGAAAGACAGAAATTCAGATACTGGTTATCTTCCTTCCTAGAGGATAACATGTTTTTTGGGTATGCCAGATATTTCTTAATCTGGGAACACACTTCATTTGTGCTCTTGCCTGTACATTTTACTACAATTAAAATGTGAAGAAGTTTGTTTTGTAAAGGTTCACCTCAAAAAGTGGCTGACAGGGGCTGGAGAGATAGCACAGCGGGTAGGGGGTTTGCCTTGCATGCAGCCGACCCGGGTTCAATTCCCAGCATCCCATATGATCCCCTGAGCACCGCCAGGAGTGATTCCTGAGGGCAGAGCCAGGAGTAACCCCTGTGCATCGCCGGGTATGAGCCAAAAAGCAAAAAAAAAAAAAAAAAGTTACAGGTAAAATGATGTTTTCCTTCTAAATATTTTAACACGCGTCACCTAAAAATCAAAATGATTCTTTTTTTGATGTGCAAATTTTCTCTTTAATGGAACCACAATCATTTTTCTGTTTTGTTTGGGGAACCACCAACCCAGCAGCCCTTGGGGGCTACTCCCAGCTCAGTGTGTGGGAATCAGTCCCTGGGGTGCTTGGTGGGCCATGCTTGGTGCTCAAGGGACCATAGAGTATCAAGGATCCCACCCAGGCCTCCTGCCTGCTGTGTATACACTCCATTCCCCTTCTGACAGCGCTCTCTCTCTCTCTCTCTCTCTCTCTTTCTCTCTCTCTCTCTCTCTCTCTCTCTCTCTCTGTCTCTTTCATCTCATTTGCCTAAAACTCAAGTGTGGTATAACATAAATATACATACATTGCCCCACACTTGTATGAGATAATTAAGCAGACAACTATTCTTCAGAGCTGACTGAAAACTTCAGCGTCTTCATTTTATATATTTATTTTGGTTTTGGGGCTATACCTGGCGATGCTCAGTGGTTACTCCTGGCTCTGCCCTCAGGAATCACTCCTGGCCATGTGTGGGGACCATACGGGGTGCTGGGGATCAAACCTGGGTCAACTGTGTGCAAGGCAAGTGTACCATTGTTCTGGCCCCTATTTTAAAAAAAAAAACAGTTTATGGACTGGAGAGACCGTCACTGTCACTGTCCTCCCGTTCATCAGTTTGCTCCAGTGGGCCCAGTAACATCTCCATTTTGAGACTTGTTGTTACTGTGTTTGGCATATTGAATACGGCATGGGGAGTTTGCTAGGCTTTGCTGTGCGGGTGAGATACTCTTGGTAGCTTGCCGGGCTCTCCGAGAGGGGAGGAATCGAACCTGGCTCAGCCGGCTGGCTGTGTGCAAGACAAACGCCCTACCGCTGTGCTATCGCTCCAGTCTGGAGAGACGGTATAGGGGATAAAACACTTGTTTCGCATATGGCTTGATTTCAGTTCCATTGCCGGCACTGCAGATGATGCTGCCCTCACCTGCCAGGAGTGATCCCTGAGCACCACCAGCAGGGCCCCAAGACCCTCCCCCAGAGAAAAAGAAAAGAGAGAGAGTGCAGTAGATGAGGCTGTTTTAATGATTACTTTTCTGTCTTAAGTGATTTTTTTTTTCCAGAAGACCTTGCCACCTAATTTCATTACAGTTATTTTTGTTATATGGTTAGATCCCATAGGCAGTAAAATTGTTATTATGAACTATGGGGATGCGTTCTGATTTTCCTTATTTTTTTTTTCCACCTTGCATCTTTCTTAGGGCTCTGTCAAGAGGCAAGCCCTGTATGCCTGTAGCACCTGTACCCCCGAAGGTGAAGAACCTGCAGGAATTTGCCTGGCTTGCAGTTATGAATGCCACGGAAGTCACAAACTCTTTGAGCTCTACACAAAAAGGTAAGCTGCAGGTTCGCGCCGAGCGGCGAGTCAGCCCTGAGCATCGCCGGATGGGGCCCCTCCCTCAAACTTTTTTTTAAATTATTATTATTTTTATTTTACCTTTTTGGGCCACACGCAGCGATGCTCAGGGGTTCCTCCTGGCTCTGCACTCAGGAATCACTCCTGGTGGTGCTTGGGGGACCCTATGGGATGCCGGGGATCAAACCCGGGTTGGCCTCGTGCAAGGCAAACACCCTACCCGCTGTACTGTCACTCTGGCCCCTCCCTCAGACTTATTAATAACAACAACAACACCAAAATTCTTCCTGGCCAGGAAGCGCCTCCCTCCTTTGGCTACAGGTGCCAGCCCAGAGCCTGCGGGCCCTGGCCACTAGGTGGCGCCTGCGCTCCATCTGGGCTCTCCCACTCCACCACCCTGGGGTGCCATTTCCAACCCTGACATCCCAGCTCTGGGGTGTAGTCTCCACTGCATTCCCCTCTGCGGTGCTGGCATCTTATTGAGGGGGGAGGGTGGCAGGCGGGGGCCACACCGGGTGCTGCTCGGGACCATATGTGGAGCCAGGCGAGTGCCTCACTTCCTGTCCTATTTCTCCAGCCCTTGCCAGGGTCTTGAAGGCACGGGTTCCTGCATTTGGGATGGAGAGATAGTCCACGGGCAGAGGTGCTTGCCTTGACGGCCTGATCCTCAGTACACGTTTGGTTCCCTGAGCCCCTGCTAGGAGTGAGGTCCCAGAGCACAACCTAACGTGTCCCCTCTCCCCCCCCCCCGCCAAGTTTCTCCACTTCCTCTCCTCTCCTCATCCCACGTTATCCTCCCAAAATAAATCTATTTTACTTTAGCACTGTCCATATGTATGTCTAATATAGTTATGGTCCAAACTCAAGCAGTCGTCTTCTCTCATTATTTGACTCGGGTTTGTGCGATAGAAATACTTCGTGCATGTTAATTTCCCAGAATTATTAAATCTTTTATTGTTACACTCTTGGAGCTATTCCAGATTGGATCCAAAAAGGCAACTTATTATTGCTATTTTTTTTTTAATCTTAGACATGAGTTGAAGGGGAAAAGGTTATGAGATGATTTTAAGGAGTAAAGTTATTAAATTTGAGATTGACTCTGTCTTTACCCTTTATTTCAGGAATTTTCGTTGTGATTGTGGAAACAGCAAATTTAAAAATCTGGAATGCAAATTATTTCCTGTAAGTAAGCACTCTTAACTGTAAATGCATTGGCAGTAACAGATTGATATTTATCAGCGTGGAGAAATATGTACTTTCCCAAGAGGAAGTTCATATGTGTATTTTTTTACAAGTGGGCAAATTGATATTAAACTGTATCTTATTTTTTTTGCTTTATTGGAAAATAAAATAAAATTTTAGAGCCTGTGTTATGGGTTGTAATGAAAATAGAAGGTTTCGGGGTATTCTCTAGAGTGACTCAGGTCTCAAGCTGCAAGACTTTTTATTCATTTGAGTTTTTCAAGAACTTAAAAAAAAATTTTATTGACTCACCGCGATGATAGAGTTACAAAGCTTTCATAGTTGAGATTCTGCCATACAATGATTGAACACCCATCCCTCCACCAGTGCACATTTTCCACCACCAACGTCCCCCATATCCCTCGCCCCATCCCAGTCCTTACCCTGCCTCTGTGGCAGACAATTTCCCCAATATTCTCTCTACTTTTGGGCATATGTTTTGCTCGAATTTTCCCACCACCATTCAGGCCTACTTGCAGATGCTAGATGATTTATTTTCAATTGCATATTTTAAATATCACGAGAACTTGTGTGGCCGCTTTTGTGGTCGTGTGCTCCTAGAATTCTAGATTGTTAACGGTTGAGTTCCAGTGACGTCTCTGTAGGGCAATAAATTGTGATTTTCTGGACCAGGGCCATTCGTGTGCTCAGCTGGCACCCAGAGGCAGATTGAGAGCATGACAGCCAGGCCACTGAGTGGCGGGGAGCTGGGGAGGGACAGCCTCCTCTGCCTCCATGCCGCCTGGAGATTTAGTCCTGCAACTCATGTACCTGGGCCTTGCTTGTAGAAGCTCTTGGTCACCGGGATTCCATCTAGAGCAGGCGGGGAGACTACACCTGCTCCATCTGGGGTGCCCCGGTGAAATTGGCCCTGCATGGGGCTCAGAGAGATCTCCAGTGCTGTGGTGTCTTCCAGGACTTGCTGCTGTGTCTCTGGACCAGGGCTGTTGGTGCGCTAAGATGACCTATTCATTTTAGTTTAAGACTTTTAAAGCAGAGACTTTATCTTTAAAAACTGAATCAGTGAAATTTGATAATAAGATGAGAGGTTTTTTTATGCTTTCTGGCTAGTAATACTTAAATTTAGTGGAATAAAAAACATTGTAAAAATTCAGGGATTTTACATTGTACACCAGAATAACTGAGACCTGTCACAGTTCGTCCCTTCTTTGAAGGCTATTTTTAGACAGTTCTCTTGCCTACTTTTTGCTGTTGTGTTTTGGCCCACACCTGGCTGCACTCAAGATTACTCCCGCTCTGTGCTCAGGGACCCCTCCTGGCAGAGCTTGGAGTCCCCTCTGTGTGCTGGGGATCAGAGCTGGCTTGGCCGTCATGGGGTCAGGAAAAGCGCACCACCTGCTGCTGTCCCTCTCCGGGACCCCCTTCCGGCCCCCTGGTCACCTGCAGGCCTGACCAGCACAGCTGAGCAGTAAGACTGTCCACTGTCCACTGTCCACCATTGTTCATCGATTTGCTCGAGCAGGCACCAGTAACGTCTCCATTGTGAGACTTGTTACTGTGTTTGGCATATCGAATACATCACGGGGAGCTTGCCAGGCTTTGTCGTGTTGGTGCGATACTCTCGGTAGCTTGCTGGGCTCTCCGAGAAGGATGGAGGAATCGAACCGGGATTGGCCCGGGTCGGCCATGTGCAAGGCAAACGCCCTGCCCGCTGTGCTATCGTTCCAGCCCAGCAGTAAGACATACTTTGAAATTTCAAGCCAGTGTATTTATAGAGGCCAGTAATTAATATTTATGATCAGCTTATCACCATTTTATTTAATGACGGTGTTGAGTCCCCCCGTTGCTATAGTTACAGTTTCCTTCCTCTCATCCTGGAAAAAGTGTCACCCTAATAGAGAACTATTTTTATTATTCTTTGCACTTTGACAGTTAAAGACCAGATTCTGGGAGAATGACGTTTGATGCCGAGAAACATACTGCATTTCTCTGGATAAATTTCCTGATATGTAAAGTGGCAGTTCATATTTTTATAGTACGGCCTAAAAATCAAGTTTCATAGTCACGATCATTGCGTTTCAGGAGAAGGCGAAGATAAATTCTGGCAATAAGTACAACGACAACTTCTTTGGACTGTACTGCACCTGCAAGAGGCCTTACCCCGACCCTGAGGATGAGGTGAGAGTTGGGGGTCACTCCCCGAGCCTCTCCCGGGCCCTGCGGCTTCCCGGGACCTGGGGGGGCCGGAGGGAACTGTGACTGTCTTCCTCCAGGTGGGCCACACCTGCTCAGAGCCTCGTCGGTGCCCAGGCTCATAGGGATGAGCTGTGGGGCGGTTTGTCTACTGGTGGGAGGCCCCAATAGCACGGCTGTCAGGGGGTCCTGAGGGCACGAAACGGGGCCCCCACTTGCCCTGGGCTGAGTCACCTTCCAGCCTGTGCTGCTGGCTTGGCAGGAGCCCTGGCCTCAGGTGGCCTCAGGCAGCTCTCTAAGCCACTGAGATACCTGCGGGGCCCCAGGCCGTTCCCCACTTCCTCTCTGCCTCTTCTGCTTGTTCGTGTACGCTTCAAAACAAGACACTTACTTCCCTTCCCACAGGGATGGAAATGGGTGTATACTTTGCAGGCTCCAGAGTTCTCAAATAGAATTTGTTTATACATAGTTTGGGAGACTTGGGGTCACTCCCAGCAGTGTCCAGGGATGACTCCCAGTTAAGCTGTCAGGGGTCACTTGTGTGGCGCTTGAGGGAGCAAACGCAGGGTGCCTGTGCTCAGACCGTGAGCGTCAGACCTCGAACTCCCTCCCCAGCCCCTGCGTACAGTTGATGTCTGGACTTGGGTATGTTTTCCTCACCGTTTTGCACCTTCCTTGGAGCCAGGGAGAGAGCTCAGATGATCAGACGGCCTTCCTGGCACGTGCAGAGGTATTCAGTCCCTGAATTCAATCCCTGAATTAGATCCCCAACTTTGTATGGGCTCCCTGAGCACTGCCTAATGTAGCCCTGATGGCTCCCGGCCTCTGAGGAAGAAGAAAAGGGCCAGAGTGATTGTACAGCCGGGAGGGCACTTCCCCTGCATGGGGTGACCGAGTCAATCCCGGCACCTTATGTGGTCCTCTGAGCCCTGCTAAGAGTGACCCTGAGCACAGAGCCAGGGGTAAGCCCCGAGTACCGCCAGATGTGGCCCCCCTAAACATTAATAAAGTGCACTAAAAGGCACTTGTGTCGCGTGAGGCTGACTCTGGGTCATTCCCGACAGTGCTCTGGTCCCCGAGCACCTCCAGGAGTGAACCCTGAGCATCACCAGGTGCGGCCCCAACCCAAGAAATAAAAAGGGAAATCATTTCAAAAATAATCTGTGCCCTTAAATAGATGTTTCCTACTACCAGAACGTAGTTGTTTGATTTATCCACAGTAGAGAAATTGTGGCCATCCATATCATCAGACAGTGTACCCGTTGCTTTTCGTTATTTGGCAACGCGCTGTAGTCAAAGCATCCCAGTGGAGGTTGGAGAAGGGTTTAGGTGTTTGTTTTGTGTGTGGCGATCCCAGTCTGATGCCCAGCTCTGCATGGTCCCTGCCGGATGTGGCCCGAGACCCCTGTCCTCAGCCCTCTAAAGAGTCACAGTTTTCACATGATACGGGCCAGTTCATATTTGACCCTCCCTGGGCCAGGGTTTCTATAGTAAATGAGAATAACGACTTCTGTACAAAGTGGGAGAAAATTTAACCTACTTGATGTTGTGATAGGGCTGGAGCGATAGCACAGCGGGTAGGGCATTCGCCTTACAAGCGGCCAACATGGCCGACCCGAGTTCGATTCCTCCGCCCCTCTCGGAGAGCCCGGCAAGCTACCGAGAGTATTCGATATGCCAGACACAGTAACAACAAAGTCTCCAATGGAGACGTTACTGGGCCCGCTCGATGTTGTGACGGAGCCTTGAAGTGACTTGCGGAGCACAGCGTGACCCTTGTAACACCAGTTCCACGAGAATAAGCTTCCTCTCCCCTCGCTTCTTGGGGCCTAGGGATGGAGGGACCGTGGGCTCACGGACAATTGTGCCATTGTCCGTTCCCAGAGCTCGCTGTAACGAACAGGTGCAGCACCGTGACGGCGCTGGCAGTGGCACATCACGCTGACGCCCGTGCTTTTCCCTTCCAGATTCCAGACGAGATGATCCAGTGTGTGGTCTGCGAAGACTGGTTCCACGGCAGGGTGAGGACAAAATGCCGCCTCATCTGGTCGCCAGACAGCTCCTGAAAGCGTCTGGCCGCGCAGGGACCTCCCCGCCCCGCAGCTCGTGTTTCTTGCCAACACACAGTGCTCAGGGCTCTTCCTGCTGCTCAGGAGTGACCCCTGGCAGTGCTCAGGGGACTCGGGGGGTGCTGGGGGTTCGGACTGGGCTGGGTGTTGGGGAAGCGGGGTGGGGAGGCCAGCTCCTTGCTTCCTGTGCTCTCTCTCCAACTCCGTGAACTTTGACATTTATTTATGGAGCCTCCAGAGCAGTGCTCAGGAGCCACTCCTGGCCGTGCCCAATTTGGCCACGCAGGTCCCTCGGTTTAATGCCAAACTATGCCAGGTCACTGCCCCCCCAGTGCTTGGGGAGGCACCGCAGTGCCGGCCAGGTAGGCCTCCGGCCCTCTGCCTGACTTTGAACCTCCGCCCCCTTTTACCTTTAAAGTCTTTGTCTTCACAAAGAAGAAATGAGATCTTTGGATATGGTAACTATTAGGCAGAGCTTTATACGGCACGTTTGTACATAATTTCACGTTCCAAAATTCCCATTTTGAATTGTGCTGTATTTTGCATGAGCTCACTCTTTTAGAGGCTGGAGAGGTAGTGTAGTGGGTCCGGAGCTTGCCAGTGTGACAACACACTTGGTCCCCTGAGCCCCACCAGGATTCACCAACCCCTGAGTGCAAAGCTAGGAATAAGCCCGTGGGGTGTAACCCCCAAACCAAAAGAAACACATAGAATCCCTCTCTCCTGGGGCTGGAGTGATAGCACAGTGGGTAGGGCGTTTTCCCCTACGTGGCTGACCCGGGTTCAATTCCCAGCATCCCATAGGGTCCCCCGAGCACCGCCAGGAGTGATTCCTGAGTGCATGAGCCAGGAGTAACCCCTGTGGATCACTGGGTGTGACCCAAAAAGCAAAAAAAAAAAAAAAAAAAAAAAAGAATCCCTCTCCTGAACGTATGTGATTAGGCTGTGATCTGCAGCCATGCAGTCTGTCTGTCAGCTAGTGAGCTGCCCAGACTGTCGGCGTTGCCTGGAAACCCAAGGGAAACTGTTGCTTTCGTGTGTCCGCAGCACCTGGGTGCGGCCCCGCCCGAGAGCGGGGACTTCCAGGAGATGGTGTGCCAGGGCTGCATGGAGCGCTGCTCCTTCCTGTGGGCCTACGCGCCACAGCTGGCAGGTGGGTGTCCGCGCGCGAGAGCCCTTGGAACAGGCGATGGCGCGTTGGGGCCGGGACTGTACCCCTCGTCTATGTTAGCGATTTGCGTACAGGCTGGAGCGACAGCACAGTGAGTAGGCGCCTGCCGTGCGGGTGGCTCACGGTTCCAGCCCCTGACCCTTATGGTCCCAGAGACAGGAGTCACCCCTGAGCATCGCCGGCTGTGGCCCCCAAGCAAACCCAGGAATGTGAAATCCTTCGTGGGTAATGTCCTGTTCCTAAAGGGGTGGAGGCCGAAGGCCTCGGATGCGCTCGGCGTTCCTGGCCTTTGTCCCTTTTGGCAGCGCTCACCAGGCATGCGTGCCCGTGCCAGGCTCTCTCCTGATTGCAGAGTCTCAAGCACCACTGGCACTGAGCTTGACGGTTTGTCAGTTGTATTCTCTTTCTTCCTTGTTTTTTGCTACCCTCAGCCATGTTCAGGGCTGACTCCTGCCTGACTCAGTTCAGAAACTTCTTACAGGGCTCAGGGGACCGTATGCCATGGGGGGGGTGCGAAGGATGGAACCCTGGCCAGCCACGTGCAAGGCAGCCACCGCAGGTGCTGTACTATCGCTTTGGCCTGTTGGATACTGTGTTTTCAGATGTTCACGGTTGGGTTTCAGTCATCCAGTGTTCCAACACCCATCCCTTTGCCAGTGCACATTTCCCAGCACCAGGGTCCCCAGGTTCCCTCCCATCACCCCCACCCCCTGCCTGCTGCTTCTCTCTCTCTCTCTCTCCCTCCCTCTCTCCCTCCCTCCCTCCCCCTACTCCCTCTTACATTTTGGGCACTATGGCTTGCAGAACAGGTGCTAGAAGGTTTTCATGGGTATCCCTTTACTATTTTCAGCACTCAGTTCTTGTCCAGAGTGACCATTTCTAAGTATTATTGTCCTACTGGGCCCTCCTCTATCTCCCCTCCCCTCCGCCCCTCACACACGAGTGGTAATTCCCAACCATTGTCCGTGGGCATTTTTTTCAAATCTTTGGTTCTTGTGGGCCACGGCTGGTGGTGTTGAGTCCTTCCTTCGGTGCTGGGGGTCGTGGGGGGGTGGGGCGGGCACGGGCCTCGGGGGCTGCTACGTGCCTGGCCGCCCCTTCTCCCCGGCCTGACTCTCCAGCTTCTCCCCGGACATCCCTGATTCCCTTCTGCCCCGCTTTGATTCTCCCCCTGGGCAGCAGATGGCCTCGCTCCTGTTCCGTTGAGTGTGATTGTGGAGCGTGGACCCCTGAGCGCTTCCTTCTGCAGTAGTGAGTGCTCTGCGCCCGTCTGGGTCTGGGCTGATTCCCCACCTCTGGTTGGATTTTTCCGAGGCCGCCTGTCGCGCTGTCTTTGCAGTCCCTGCAGTCGCTCTCTCCCTGCTCTCCTGCGGCTGCGTTGGCCCCTCCCTGCAGCATCTGCAGTATTTTTCTTTATTCCGTACGAAGTTTTGAAAGATTGATATTTGTGCGAAAGGACTTCAGTTATGTGAAGTCTTTTAACTAGGCACTTATAGAGCAGCATAGATGGACCCCCGGTCACATGGCCTTGGTGTGGGGGGTGTGTCGGGGGAGGGCCAGGGCAGGAGGAGAGGCAGCTGGCCACCGGGAAGGGGTGGGCACTGCGGCTGCAGGACTCCATGGTGAAGGGGTAATTTCGGTGCGAGGTGCAGCTCACCAGGACGCAGGCCCTCCATCTGTGCTGCTTGGTCTCCTGCACCCCTCCCTGCCCCCAACACTCCTGGGGATGGGGGTCAGAGGACAGGGTCCGTGGGTTCGAAGCCTCCTTCCTGTCTGGCCAAGGAAATCACTGGGAAACTTTTTTTTTTTCTTTTTGGGTCACACCCATTGATGCTCAGGAGTTACTCCTGGTCCATGCACTCAGGAATTACTCCTGGCGGTGCTCGGGGGACCCAATGGGATGCTGGGAATCGAACCTAGGCCGGCTGCCTGCAAGGCAAATGCCCTACCCGCTGTGCTATTGCTCCAGCCCTTCACTGGGAAACTTTTCAGGTTTCAGTGTAGGAAGTGAGCTGGAGCACAGCAGGTAGGGCGTTTGCCTTGCACACAGCTGACCCGGTCGATCCGGGTTTGATTTCTTCTGCCCTTCTTGGAGAGCCTGGCAAGCTACTGAGAGTATCCCACCCGCACGGCAGAGCCTGGCAAGCACCCCGTGGTGTATTCGATATGCCAAACACAGTCACAACAAGTCTCACAATGGAGACGTTACTGGGCCCGCTCAAGCAAATCGAAGAACAACGGGAGGACAGTGACAGTGACAGGCAGTTATAACTTAAAAAATGCCAGTATTTTGTTGTTATCCAGAGATTAGAATGAACTTTTTTTTTCCAGCTTCTGAAATGTTTTTTCTTTTTTGAATTTTTTTTTTCCACCAGACAGTGATTTCCTTGCCTAGCAGGTGTGTGGGTAATTATCTTTGTGTTTTTGCTTTTTCCCCCATGGAACTCGGAAGTAAGCAGAGTTGCGGCAGAGGATGAAGGGCTGGTGTCAGGTGACCAGGAAGTCACCACACCTGAAAACGGAGCTCACCAGGATGAGAGCCGCAAAGAGGAAACTGCAGGTCAAGGGAAGGAGTCCGTGAAGGAAACGAAAGCCGAGCGGACTAATGAACCAGGTGCCAGCTCCAGCTCAGAGTCTGGCCTCCAGGTAACTTGGGAAATAGGAGCCATGGAAAAAAAAATTGATTTCTGACTAGGCTGGAGAGAGCGCAGTGGGCTGGATGCGGGCTACCCACGCACGGCCTGGCCCCTGGCACCACCCGAGGGAGCCGGTCCTCACACTCCCCCTCTCCTGCCTACAAAGAAAGAAAAATCCTTTCACAGAATCTAAACTATGGAAACCCATAGTGTAAAAACACGTTTCAGGGGGCTGGAGCGACAGGATAGTGGGGAGGGTGTTTGTCTTGCACGTGGCCAATCCGGCTTGGTCCCCAACATCCCATGTGCTTCCCCAAGCACCGCCAGGAGTAATTCCTGAGTGCAGAGCCGGGAGTCACCCCTGAGCATCACTGGGTGTGACCCAAAAGCCAAATAAATATTAAGCACATTTCAGGGGCTAGAGTGATATGGTCCAGCGGGTAGAACATTTGCCCTGCTGCGGCTAACTGGGGTTCGATCCCTGGTACTGCATTTAGTTAACTGAGCACAGAGGTAGGAGTCAACCCTGAGCACTTCCAGGTATGGCCTAAAAACTAAATAAAAGAGGGGCTGGAGTAATAGCACAGCGGGTAGGGCATTTGCCTTGCATGCGGCTGACCAGGGATCAATTCCCAGCATCCCACATGGTCCCCCGAGTACTGCCAGGAGTAATTCCTGAGTGCATGAGCCAGGAGTAACCCCTGTGCATCGCTGGGGGTGACCCAAAAAGCAAAAAAAAAAAAAAAAAAAAAAAGGGAAAGATGGTGGCCGCATTGGAGCCTTGTGGAGAGCAGGTATGAGCCGGGGGTGGGGGTGCGACTGAAACCTCATGGGGGGGGGGCGTTTCGGCCCGTCCTTCACGCCCTACCGAGGTCACCAGTTGCCCCCCACGAGTGGCTCTCCGGCACAGCCACGGCCCCAGAAGCACAGAAACCAATCTCTTAATTATCTGACTCTCAGTAGAAATGCTTCCAGGGTTAATAAATAAAATAGCCACGTGGCCGCTATTGCGGCCGCGCGACATCATTTAATTCTTGAACGCAGCTGTAGAAAGCAAATCATTTCACAATGCTTTTTCAGCATGGCTGATTTGGGGGGGGCAAAGTCTAAATAATAATGGTGCAACTTTTATCAAAACAATGAAGCTAGTCAAAGTAGACAGAGTGTTAACTGGAATTCATCTACCCCACAGACATTGGGGGGGGGGGTTATTGGGGTTCTTCGTGGTGAAAAATAAGTATTGGTAAAGGGAAATGTGATTGATATTTGCATGACCGAGACCTAAACCTGAAAGCTTTGTAACTTTTCCCACAGCGATTCAATAAATAAAAAAACAAACAAGAAATAAAGAACACTCCAGGGCCCAGGAAGATAGTGCCAAGGTCACGCCATGTGCAAATCCTGAGTTCAGTCCCTGGCACAATCTTGTCCCCCCTCCACACCCCCCCCACTCCCCAGCAAGGCCCTCAGCTGCCACCCATGCACAGCCCTGACTCCCATACTGCCCGGCCAGGCACCAGGGCGGCACCTGGGCCCTGAGCCCTGCTTGGGGAGACCTGGGATAAAAACAACAACAAAGAAAACTTACATTTTATTTTCTCCCAGGCAGCATCGCAGAAGCATCTCCACCCCGAGGCCCCGGCTCCGTCCGGCTGCAGACTTCGGGACCTTCAAGCCCAGCGGCCGGCGCAGAGGGACACGGCCACCTACTGGCCCCCAAACTGGCGGAGCAAGCTGTGTGCCTGCAAAGACTGCCTGGTGAGGGCGACAGGGGCGTCCCACGCGGGCTGGGAACCAGTGCCCTAATCAGGTCATCCGAAAAGTATTTTATTAATGTCAGGAGCAGTGCGAGCCTGAATGTATTTTTATAGTAAGCACATTTATGAAGTCACATTTGCATTCTGAATGGTTATGTTTGGGGGAGGGGGGCTATACGCTGTGCTCGGGGCTTACTCCTTTCTCAGTACTCAGAACCACTCGTGGAAGTGCTTGGGGGGTCTGTGGGTGGCTGGGGATCGACCCCGGGCCTCCCACGTGTGAAGCCTGAACAGCCCATCTAGTTACTGTTCAGGCCCCGGCACGGAGTCTTTATTTTTTGTTTTGGGGCCACACCCAGTGATGCTCAGGGTCCGCCCCTGCCCCTGTGCTCAGGAATCACTCCTGGTGGTGCTCTGGAGACCACCTGGGGTGTGGGGATTGAACCTGACTGGCGATGTGCAAGGCAAGTGCCTGCCCATTGTGCTCTCTCTCTGGCCCCTAACTTTTTTTTTTTTTTTAATCATAGAATTATTTGAAAACAGATATGGGCCAGAGATATCCAGGGACATGCCTTAGTGGCTACAGCACGTTTTGCATGCATGCAGGAGAGCCAGATGCGCTGGCACCACCGGGAGAGACGCCCACGCACAGAGCCAGGAGTCGTCCCTCACCCTGCAGGGCAAGGGTGGGGGGAGGGGAGGAGGAAGGAAGGACAAATTGCTTGAATGTTACAAATCACTGATTTTGAAAAAAAAAGATCTAATATGCTGTGTGATATCCATTAGGAAGTTGGGAGTTTTGTCAAAGGGATTGGCGCAAAAGGGATGAATCAACTTTTTTTTACATAGTGATTTGCTTTTACTTTGTTACTTAGTCCTCAAAAGTTTTTTTTTTTTTTAAAATAAAGCCCATCCATTACACATAAAAAAGTTAGTCCTGGGATTCCTATATACCATTTACACAGATTTCCCAATTATTAACCTCTTGTATAAGCATAAATAACTTATCAAAATCATGAAATAACACTGATAAATAACCCAATCTAAGAACTTGCTTCAATTTTTTTTTTTCCTTAAATTTTTATTAGCGAAACACCATGAGGTATAGTTGTAGACTCACAAATTTTTGTGCTTGGGTTTCAGTTACACAGTGTGATCGAGTACCCATCCCTCCACCAGTGCCCATTCTCCACCACCACGGGTCCCAGCATCCCTCCCACTCTCCCATCCCCCCTGTGGGATGAATCACTTTATTTAAAAAAAGTTTTTAAATTTTTTTTTGGGGGGGGGCATATCTTCTGGTGGTGCTCAGGGTTTATTCCTCACTCTGTGCTCAGGGGTCACTCTTGTCAGGGCTCAGGGTAGCCCCTATCCACTCCACTACTACTATGGTGAGGCCCCCCCCTACACACACACATACACACACACACACACACACACACACACACACACACACACACTCGGCCCCAAAGAATAAGTTACTTTCATGATGGCTCAGGTGTTTTTAGTGTTAATCTGAAAAATATAGATGATTATCTTTTCCCTTTTGGTTTTTGGGTCACACATACCCAGAGGTGAGAGAGACACTACCTCTCTCATGGCACAGTGGTAGGGTGGTAGCCCGGCCGAGCCGGGTTCGATTCCTCCGCCCCTCTCGGAGAGCCCAGCAAGCTACCGAGAGTATCTCACCTGCAAGGCAAAGCCTGGCAAGCTCCCCGTGACGCATTCGATATGCCAAACACAGTAACAACAAGTCTCACAATTTGTTGTGAGATATTACTGGTACCTGCTAGAGCAAGTTGATGAACAACCAGGGGGGGCCGGACACACTGCTACCCAGAGGTGATCGGGAGCTACTTCCTGAACAGTGCTTAGGGGTCACTCCAAGCCAGGTGCAGTGCTCAGAGACCATTTAGTGCTGGGGATCGAAACTGGTCCTCAAGGCTGAAGCGGTGGTAGGGTGCTGGCGTTGCATGCAGCCAGCTGGGGCTTGACCCCCCCAGCCCACCAGGAGTGATCCTGAGCTCAGAGCTAAGCGGCAGCCCTGAGCGCCGCTGGGTCTGGCCCCCAAACAAACAGCAGCAACCGGACCTGGCCCCTGAGCTCACTGTCCCCCCTTCGAACTACAGATGTTTAGTCTTCCGGTGAATGAGCAGCTGTCCTAACAGGCCACGGGCTTTGTCTCCTGCAGAAGATGTACAGTGGTCTGGACGTGCTGTTCCTGACGGATGAGTACGACACGGTCCTGGCGTACGAAAACAAGGGCAAGGTTGACCAGGCCACCGAGCAGAGAGACCCGCTGATGGACACCCTGAGCAGCATGAACAGGGTCCAGCAAGTGGAGCTGATCTGTGGTGAGTAACGTTGGATGCTGAGGGTCGCGAGGACCATTGTTTCCTGCACTGCCAGAATGATATGGACGGAGGGCCGGCACGAGAGTCCAGCCTTGCACACACGACTGACATCCCCGGCACCCATATGGTCCCCGAGCACCGCTAGGAGCGATTCCTGAGTGCAGAGCCAGGAGGGACCCCTGCGCACCACTGGGAGTCACCCCAAGACTATAAAAAATAGGGAGAGAGGCTATTTTTTTAAGCCTTCTGTTTTTTTCTCCCCCTTTGGTGAGCACTGAGTCCCCTGGTGATGCTCAGCGCTTCCTCCTGGCTCTGTGGTTCGGGTCCCTCCTCTCAGGGCTCGGGCCACAGGGATCCAGCCTGGGTTGGCCACGTGCAGGGCAAACTCGGTACCCACTCGGTACCCGCTGCAGCCCTTTGAAAAATATGCAGGGGCTGGAGAGGTTCAGGACAGGAAGTAAGATGCCGCCTCTGTGGTGCCCACCCCAGTTCCGTCCCTGGCACCATCTGGGGTCTCCCAGCACGGCCAGGGAGACCGTTTCCTGAGGGGCGCCTGGTCATGGATGGGGCCTCTTGGCATGCAACAGCATTCTTGCCGGAGCACCACTGGGCGTGGCCGCCAAGTCCAGAAGGTAAAACCATACGGAGGTCAGGGGTCAGGGGCCTTTTCCTCCTAAGGCAGACACAGTTATCTAAAGCATATCTTGTTTGTCGGTTTTTTTTTAAGTGAAGTAAAATATTTTATTTAGAAAAATATAAGGAAATCAGAGAAAATGTGCACATCACAAGTTGTGAACTCTGACAGCAAAGAATGTGTCTTTTTTTTTTTAGTCGAACATTGTCAGTTTTTATTTTTATCTAATGCAATTTGTGCTTTATTACGTTTTGATCTCTAGAGTACAATGACTTGAAGACGGAACTTAAGGACTATCTCAAGAGATTCGCTGATGAGGGCACGGTACGTGGGGTCAGTGACTGGCCACCTGGGGTCCTTCCCAGTGGGCGGGAGGGGGGAGGGAGCAAATGATCTGAGGGAGTGGGTGTCGCTTGGGAGAAAGTCTGGGGCCAGCTGGGAACGAGCCAGGCTTGACCTGCGCGCGGGGAACCTTGGAGGGACAAAGGCAGACGACCAGGCAGGAAGGAATGACGGCAGCCCCCGTTTTTGGGAATTCTAGGATATCTCTAGGTGTTGTCATTGCTATTTTGTTTGGGGGCTACACCCGGCAGTGCCCAGGGCTGACTCCTGCCTCTGCACTCGGGGATCCCTCCTGGCGGGCTTGGGGGACCCTCCGGATGCTGAGGCTTGGGTCTGGCTCACTAACACCCAAGGCCAGCGCCCTCCCCACTGGGCTGTTGCTCCATCCGGCCCAGCGATTCCCAGGGGACGTGGTTCCTGCCCCCGTTGCTCGGTGCCCATCCCAGCCTGGCGCTGGTGCCCCACACGCCGGCTCCTTGGCTGACTCGGCTTCCCCCTGCAGGTGGTGAAGAGGGAGGACATCCAGCAGTTCTTTGAAGAGTTCCAGTCCAAGAAGAGAAGGCGGGTCGACGGGCTGCAGTATTACTGCAGCTAGAGTGTGCCCGCGCCTCCTCCCTTGGCCGTGCAGGTGCCCCCGGCAGCTCTGCAATGGAAGAGGCACTTGGCACGGCTGTCCTCCTTCGTGGGGGGCGGGGGGCTCCCTCCCGAGACTCTCTGCCCCCCACCCCACCCCTCCTTCCTGCCCCTCAGCCACATCGCCCCCTGACCCCGCTAACTGTAACTCATCCCAGACTCCAGCCCACCCCGGGGCATTTGCATATTTGTTCTAAGAAGATTGATGTGGTGTTGGAGCGTGCAGACTAGTTTCTTTCCTGATGATTTCTGAGCTCCCTGACGTGTCCGCTTGGCACAGAGTTGTTGTCTTCCAGGCCTGCCCCGGGCCCCGCAGAACCTTCGGTCGGAACCGCCTGGGTCCCCCACGCCCATTTGGGGGGGGGTGCCCTGGGCCACGCCTCCTGCCGCCTGCCCCATTTGCCCCCCCGGGGCCAACCTAGAGGGGACACTGGCCGATGGAGGCCCTCGGGGGGTTGGTGTGGGGTGCCACCTGCAGGGCTGCGCCCTCAGACTGGGCACCCTCGGTGAGAGCACGCTCCTTCCCGGAGGCCTCTGGGCACCTCCTCTCATCGGGGATATTCTGCATCTGTTCAAAATGGGCCATGTTGATACTGTTCCGTTACGGAAATGTCAGAACCCGTCAGTGATCGTTTTCCCTAGCTTGACGCTGAAGGCTGAGTTGATCCCGGCCTTGGCTGGCCGGCAGCATGCCCAGGGCCCTGCTGGGGAACGGCCACGGCCACCCACCCTGGCGTCTCGGAGGACCCCCGGAGTGTGTAGGAGCCCGTGCGAGGGCATCTGGGTTGGTAGATATCTCTCAGGCCCTCGGCCTGGGCGGGAAACCCTTTCTTGGTAAACCAGAGCCTTAGCCGCCCTTCGGGGGAACGAGCCTCTTCTGGGCAGCACCGGGTCCCCCTGAGGCTGGGCGCCTCTGATGGCTGCCACTGACGCAGGCCTGGGTGAGCTGCACCCCGGCCTCAGCGGTGTCCCCATGTCCCTGCCCAGTTTGCTGGCCGTGCGGCTCAGGCACAGCAGATCTGTGTGTCCCGAGCTGGCACCTGCCTGAAGCCGGGCGTGTGAGACCCCAGCCCGCCCCAGCGTGGGACTTTCCCGAGTGCCCCTCTGACGGGCTCCACGCCTCCCAAGTGACTCATCTCTGACTTGGGACTTAACCATCAGAACATTCCATAGGACAGGTCAGGACCCCATCTGAGGTGAAGGCCACTGCGCAGCACAGAGATCCCCCTCATCCCCACCCCCATCAAGTCCCCCCATCCCCACCCCCCCCCATATGGAGGGCTCATTCTCCAGATGCCCACTCATCCCTGGCCCCCACACGGAGGGCTTATTCCCCAGACACCCTGTCATTCTCAGCCCCATATGGAGGGCTCATTCCCAGACACCCCCTCACCCCTGCTCCCCCATACAGAAGGGCTCATCCTCCCAAAGCGACAGCTCTGCCTGACACAGTAACCAGAAAACCTCTTTTTTTAACCTGTTGTTGAAACTACTTTCTTACTGCCTGCGTTGGACTGTCTCCTCACAGACAGACTGGCCATCTCGTGGCGCTCGATGTTAATGCATGTTTGATGCAAACCGGGAGTACGGTGGGAGCCGCTTGGAGGGAAGTTGGGGTGTCTGGCACTGTGTGTGCATATGTGTAGACCGTTACTGGACTTAGAATTACATACTTAACTCCAATCAGGTTTCTGTAAGATTGAAATAAAACCAGTTCAAAATGGTGGCTATTCAGGGTGTTCTTTGTCTTACTGTAAAGTACACACACAGCCACCTCTTCCTGGAGGTTTGAGAAAATAAACGTTGGAGCTGGAGCAATAGCACAGCGGGTAGGGTGTTTGCTTTGCACGTGGCCTACGTGGGTTCGATTCCCAGCATCCCATATGGTCTCCTGAACACCGCCAGGAGTAATTCCTGAGAGCATGAGCGAAGAGTAATCCCTGTGCATCGCCGGGTGTGACCCAAAAAGCCAAAAAAAAAAAACAAAACCAAAAAACAGAAAATGAACGTTGGGGCCAGAGTGTTAGTCCAACAGGTAGGGCATTTGCCCTGTCTGTGGCCAACTCAGGTTCGCAGGTTCGATCCCAAATGCCCCAGAGTCTCCCTGAGCACCACCAGGAGTAAGCCCTGAGCATCACCGGATATGACCCCAAAATGAAAAAAGAATTTAGGAGAATGTGCTCCAGGGACTCTTCCTGGCCCAAACCAGTTCCTTGGGCAGCGCTAGAAGGGCGGACTGACCAAGGCCCCGGCTCCTTAGCGTGAGACGTGCCTCAGTGGCCTAGTAGCCAATCAGCAACCGAGCAGGTAGGCTCAGGACCCATTCACCGGGGACACAGACTGACGGCGTCACAGAGCGTCATACTGGGTGACACGGCACAGGATGAGCCAACACACGTGGGATGCCAGAAGTCACGGGTCACCAAGGAAGCAGGGAGGGCTTCCTTGAGTTTCCAGGAGGAAGCTTCCCATGGGAGAACAGGGATAGGGGGACACTGGCCGAGGGTGGAGGAAGTGGGCACCAGTGGACAGCGTAGTGCTGGAGTCTTTACGGGTGGAACCCCAGCAGCGACAGTTCAGCAAAGCACAGAGTTGCGGCAACGTCCAGCTGGTGAACTTAGGACCTGGGGCCTGGGGATGGGCAGGGCAGTGACGAAAGCGGGCGTTTATGACCCATAGACCATCTGCGCTGAAACTTTGGTCTGTTGGTTTGTTTGGGTCACACCTGGTGGTTCTCGGGGTTTCCGCCTGGCTGTACTCAGGGGTCATTCCAAGCAGGAGCATGTGAGATTCCAGGGGTCCATGGCCAGTGGCTTGGAAAAGTGGGGAGCCAGAGAGGTGGGGAGCCTTAAGAGTGGCCACTGTATCACTGCCATCCCGTTGTTCATGTGTTTACTCAAGCAGGCGCCAGTAACGTCTCCCCAAAAAGGGGGAGGACAAGGGGAAGGCTGGTGTGAAGGGAATGAGTGTGGGGTGGGTCAGATGGGGTGGGTGAGAGGGCCGGGCTGAGGGGAGCAGGGCAGACCCCTCAGGCTGGTTGGGAGAGCTGAGAGGTGAGGGCCACGAAGTTGTGGGGAGGGGGGACCCTCGGCTCTCTCGGAGTCTCCCCCTGACCCAACCAGAGACTCCTGGGGAGGTGGGTGGGCCTGCGAGATCAGGGAAGGGCGGGTAACAGGCATTTGGTTAAGCCAGGGGGGTGGGGTGGGGCAGTGCCACATTCTATAGAAGGTTCCAGAAAGGGAGGCCACTCGTGCAGCTGGATAGGGAGGAGGAGGAGGGTGCGTGCCCTCACAGGTGGGGACTCCGGTGTCCTTGTTACCTGTGCCAGAGCTCCGGAGGGAACTGCTGTCCCTGCAGCCTTGTCACCCGGCCACGAGGGCCAGAGGCCAGGACGGACCTGTTGGGGCTGTTGGGGCCTGGGTGAGCGGCCTCAGGCCCTCGCCCTCAGGGGGGCCTGCCTACAGCAACTCTGCAGGGGTTCACAGACATTGCAGAGGACAAGCCACACTCAAAGCTCAGGGGCCTCCAAGCCACCGCATGGCCTCAGTGTCCTGCTGGGCACTGGGGACAAGGTTCTGATAAACTGGGTGTTCACTAGAAGACTGAAAGATTCTTGTAGCCGTAGCTGTCATAAGGAAAACAAGGACAAACGAAACTCAACTGGCCTTTGACAGGACAAGGTCAGCCATCCTCCTGGGGGGCGGGGGGGGTCTCAGCCCCAGCGGGGTGCCCTGAGCATGATTTTTTTTTTTTTGGCTTTTTGAGTCACACCCGGCAATGCACAGTTGGACCACATGGGATGCTGGGAATCGAACCTGGGTAGGCTGCATGCAAGGCAAACGCCCTACCTGCTGTGCTATCGTTCCAGCCCCCTTGGGAGACATTTCTAGCTCAGTCCACACTTCCTGTGGGGGATGCGATCTGCCACCCCAGGCTCCTGGGCTGGGGTGTGGGGGAGTAGATAGACCCGAACGATCTTCATGAACACTGAGACGGGGTCTGTGTGGCCAGGAGAGGGTCTGAACTCACTTCCAGGCTGGGCCAGTTTCCCAGAGACAGAGGCCACTGCACTTACATGACGCTTTTGCCCTCAGTGCTTTTGGGTCACACAGGGTATGCTCTGGGCTTATGCTTGGTGACGCTGAGGGAACCAGATGGGGTTCTGGGGATCGAACCTCGGAATGTTGTATGTTAAGGCCTTAACTTGGACTTGTTAAGATTACAAAATCAATTTCGGGGGCTGTATCCGACAGTGCTCAGGGATCACTCCTGTTGATCACTCCAGACGAAACCTGAGTCAGCACCGTGCCCCGTGACGTATTCGATATGCCAGACACAGTAACAACAAAGTCTCCAATGGAGACGTTACTGGGCCCGCTCGAGCAAATCGATGAGCAACGGGAGGGCCTTTTAAGCACCCTACTCTCTCCAAAATGAATTACTGAGTCACCTGCAGTGTGGGTGGTTATCCAGAGCTAAGGCCAGGAGTGTGGGGCTTGGAGGCCACTACAGCTACACCCAAGTTTATTTTCTTCACCTTTTAGAGGCTCATTTCAAGAAACTGTGAACTTTAGTTAGTTTTGGGTCGCATCAGACATCAGAGGTGCTCAGAGGCCTTTATTACGAGCTGCCAGGAATGAAACTGGAGTCAGCTCCATACACGGCAAATGCCTGACCTCCTGTACCATTTCTCAGGCTGACTTTTATCTTAACACTCCATAGTTAAGGCCAAAGTGAATATAGAGTATAAAAAGAGAATTTCTTTAGGAGACATGATGGCTGTGAAACTTATTAGTGAAACTGAAGTATTTCCATACCGCTACTTTCCAGCTACTTTAAAGGGAGGTTAGAAAACTTTCTACTTAACATGATTTTTTTCCTCCCTGAAACCTAGAACTCTAGCTCAATTCACTTTTCTCCCCCATTCAAACTGAGAAATGTTCATGAATTGCTTTGAAGTGGGAGAGAAGCTCCAAATCTCTGGCCAGTCTCCCACAAATTGGGATACAACTGGATCTCTTGGAGCTAAACATAGTACAGTGGACGGGGCACTTGCCTTGCACAGGGCTGACCTGGGTTCGATTCCTGGCACCACTTATGGTTCCCTGAGCACTGCCAGGAGGGATCCCTGAGTACAGAGTCAAGAATAAGCCCCGAGTATTGCTGGGTGTGGCTCCAAGTCATCCCTGGCAAACAACTGGATCTCACTGACAGGCCATATGGCCCAGCAAGCCCTACTCTGTGGGCAGAACGCTAACTTCCCTGGAAGTCTCCTACATGAGGAACTCTGGGCTCCCATTTCTAAAATGCCTGTTAGGTAAGAGAAAAGGCCCTGACTAGCTGAACTCTTAGAAACAGGGGGAACCGGCCCCGAAAGCCTCCCCGTCTCCCCAGCAGTCCCCGAGTGTGATGTGCAGGCCACACTGCTCCAACAGATGCGCCCGACGCAGCAGTTTCTATACAAGCCGTTTATTTGAAATGCCAACTATATGTAGGGTAAAGTCAGTGTTACATGCTGAGTAACAGTAGAAAAATAGAACCAGTGAAAACCTTTTTACAACTGTAATGATACTCAAAAGAGAAATATGTATCGTTTTACAATGCTTCACACAGACGAATTCAAGTTTGGAGGTACCTAAATAAAAATACTATATATTTCTTTTAAAAAACACTATGTACAATTGAAGCGTAAACAAGTTTTACAAAGTACTGGTTATGCAGGTTGTAGAAAACACTTGCATAGGACGTGAGATCAGTTAAGAAAAATTTCTGAGCCTTTAGCGTTGAAGGCACTTGACTTTATACCAGTAACAGCACAACCACAAGAAATGCAGTGTGGGGGCAGGCGCCACCGCCAGGGGAGACGGAGGCAGCGCCGAAACAGCAAGTGGAGTTCAGAAATCTTGATTCTTTCGACCACTCCATCTCAGGGCAGGGGGTGGTGCCACCTGCCCACAGGACCCAGAAACACAGTCACGTGTGGGTACATGATGCAGCTACCAGAGCTGATTTTGTCCCTCAGACCCACATCCTCACACATACACGAAAAGGTTGTTTTCAAGACACACACTTGCAAATTACCTCTCTATAGAAAACGGCCACAGCATTATAATATTCGGCATATGGAAGGTTAACACAGTCTGAGGGTTTCCTAGAAGATAGAAAAACCAAGAGAGACTTGACAATACAATGACACAGCAGCAATTGCCATCTTGAAGACAAAGGACAATGTTTCATAAAGACAGTTTTCACAGAACAGAGTAGAATACCTGCTAAGCGATGTGCATATAACTCTGGTAATAAGATTATCGGTGAGGAGGTTGGAAAGGAAATGATCAAGTAGACCAAGTAAGCCGTTGCAAACCGAGAATAGCACCCATCATTGCTGCTTGGACCAGCTCCCAACAGGAGGTGGGAAGCCGACGAAATGATTTTTATTTTTACAAGTTAGACAAACATTTCCCTTTGCACTCAGTCCTCAGGTGAAAAGTCAGACGAGTGCCTCAGAACTGCAAAACAAGAATCTTATATGTGTCTCATGAAACACAATCCCCTCAAAGGCAAATGAACTGTGCCAACACTGAAGTTGGCCGAGGAGCTCAGGAATGGAGAATGACCCCGTGGGGGTCAGCTTTAAGTCAGCTTCGGCCACACATGCTGTGTCTCCCAATTAACCACCCAGGCAGGCACTGTCTTTTCTAGAACTTCAGCAACAACCCAGAAAAAAATGCCAAGGAAAGAATGCAACTGGATTGAAAACAATGTTTGTGGAAGCCAAAACTGAGGCTAAAGTCAGGGGAAATAGGAAAGACAAACACGGAGGACTCTTCCAGTCGAATGGGCGACTGGGATGCCAGGAGGGAAGGGGAAGGGACGCTTATAAGCTGCAGGGCACAAGGGAGGTATGGGGAACCCCAGCCCTTTCTCGGGGAGACGCAGGCTCCCTATGAGCTTCCACTCATCACTACATCCCAAAACAAAAGAAGAAAAAGAGCAACTGGATTTAGAAGCAAAGAGACTCCTCCTCTGGCTCCAGATTGTCTGAGGGCCTGATTGTCTCAGTCATGTGACAGCCGGGAGATTTGGTTTTCTCTGTGTTTTTCTAGAAGGAGCAGGCTGGGACTTGGGATAGGACATGACACAGATCATTCTACTTTTGTTTCCCGAGAGCAATCTTCCACAGACCTCTCATGACCTTAGTTCACCAGAGACTAAAAATGCGTGGTGAGCCAAGAAAAAAAAAGACATCAGATGGGTTCAAAGGCTATAGGCACGAAGCTAGTCAACACACTCTAGTAACTAACTGGACTTCACAAGACACCGAAGAAGGGCACTTCACTGACCTTAACATACAAACCAGCCACGTGTTCACTTTCTGTGGGTCAGCCAGTCCACAATCCCACAGTTCAAAGCTAGTTTCGATACACACAGATTAGCTTGCTAAGCTTCGAAACCAGTCAAAGCAAGCTCCATCAATTCAATGGTGAACAGTGATTTTTTTAAAAAAAGAACTTTTGGGAGGTAAAAGAAGATTCCATTTCCAGCAAAGTTAGTGATTGGCATCCAAGGTTCTGGTCTAAGAAGAAATAAACACCAGCGGCAACTGATGTGAGTTTCTGCCCCGCGGCACCCGCCAGCCTGCAGTACTGGCACAGGGCCCCCTGGACCTGGAACAGAAATGGAAAAGCGAACAAAGCAGCTCAGGTCCACACCGGCACGTAAATACACATCAGGGGCTAGGGATGGAAGGAATGACTTTTGGATCTGAAGACAGATGGATGGAACTGGCTTCCAAAGACGCCATCGTTGGCAATGAAGAGTCAAACATCCTAAAAAATAGCAGAGTCCTTCCTGGCTTTTCTACCAGTCACTGAAGGTGCCCTGGCATGGCCCCGGGCGAGTGCGTGGCTGCCGCACAGAGTGACGGTTTACCATCTGAGACTATGGACCATTAGGATTTTGCTTGTGATGTCAGATTATTCCTGAGTGTGTATCCACAGGGTAAAGGAGGAAAGGACTGGAAGAGAAACCTCAGTTTCGGGGGAAATCATAGTGAATGGAGAGCGCACGGCGTTCACGGCTCCCTAGCCCTGCAGTTGGAGTGAGTGCGAGTTTTACATCTATATACAGACACAGAGAAGAGGGGCCCAGACACCCTGCACACGACGGGGCGCTCAGAGGGTCACTCTTCTTCCAGCTGCTCCGGCTGTGTGTGTCTCTATGTGTGTAAAATACAAAGTGAGTGCTCAAATATGGTGAAGTGACCGGGAAACTCAGATGCGCGTGTATTTACACCGGAGAGGAAGATGTCTTCAGCTCTTGTGATGCCTTCCACGGGAGAGAACCTTAAAGACCCTGTGTGCTCAGTGGTTCAGTCAAACCCCAACCAGTGTCCTCCGGGATTTGAGTAGAACATGGAGTGTTTCACTGGGGTGGGGGAGGGGGAAGTCTCTCTCTCTCTCTCTCTCTCTCTCTCTCTCTCTCTCGACAAAGCATTATGCATTATACAATGAACCATTTTTTAAAAATAGGACACCAAAATTCAGACACACGTTGAAAAACATTTAAAAATAAAAATCACGTTTGCTTACTGACAAACATCAAATGACATCCCTATGACTGAAGCCCTTTTGTTTTCTAGTTTTCCTACAGAGAGCAAGACAAGGGCTGGCAGCGGGGCCCCACTCTCCAGAGGCAGCCCCCAGCATGACCGACACCCCGTGGCTTTAGGGTACCAGGACACGGAACCGCTCTGGAACCGCACCGAATGGGCACCGTACCCGCAGTGAGCAAAGCCGCAGCTCTTGTCTGGGGGTGAAAGGCCATTTGTTCTCCTTCCTGTTCTTCATGGAGCCCGAACACGTCAGGTTTCTGATGGGACTCTGGCTGGAGAAGTACGAACCAGCTCCCCGCTTGGATGAAAATTAAAAAAATAAGAATGACATTAGACTTCTGAGCAGGAAGATTTCTGAACTTAAGACAGTTACTGAAAAGAGAGGAGCATTTTGATGTGCTGTTCTTTGGAATTTCTATAATTAAAAAATAAAGACAGAAATATCTCATAAGAAAATACATCTTGACTGTGCGATTCACTGCACAGTAGTGAAAATTGGTAGATGAAAGGTAAAATGCAAAAAAGTATGAAAATACAGTCCTTTAAATGTGGCAATAAAGTTTAACATACTTATATAAAATTAATACAGATAAAATAGATGTACAAGTGCAAAAGAATTCCATCATTTATAAAGGGGGGAGGGAAAGGCGGCAGCTTGCTTGCTCTGAAAAACGTTTCCTCACACAATTGTTCAACACAAAATAGACAGATGCAGCATTCAAAATAACCCTCTTAGCATGCCATGTCTAATCAACATGTATATACAGAAAAGAGAACAGAAGGATGTGAAACCGAGTTATCCGCTGGCATCGACAGACTGTCCGTGCGTCGTTGGCGCATCCCAAGGAGGGACGTGTCACCGCCCGGCATGCACGGCCGACGGGGAGGCTCTCAGAGCGCCGACTTCTTGTAGAGGAAGTCGGGCTTGCTGGGGGATCTCCTCCCTCTGCTGAGTGAGTCTTCCCTCTCTACCTGTGTGCTCCGTGAGGCTCCCGGGCCCGGGGCCCCTGGCTCGGCCAGTCTTCGGCTGGCTCTCTCTTCAGACGCCTCGGAGGTACACGCAGCAGGGTGGGGCGGCAGGCTGGGCGTCAGCCCGAATGTCAGGTCCGTTTCTCCTGCTGCTCGGCCCCTGCCGTGGGCCAGGGTGCCTGCCGCGCTGCCTGTGGTCTCGGGGGCTGCCGGGGCCAAGTCTGCCCGCGGGGGCGGCTGCTCGAAGACGTCGAGGTGTATGGGCTCGCTCTTTGAAGGGTGCGGGTGCCGCTCCGGGGACCGTGGGCAGTCTCTCCGAGCCTCCTGCTTCTTCGGAGACGCCTGGCTGGGCAGGCAGGCTGGCTTCAAGCTGTTCGGTGACGCCTTGCTGTGGCTGTACAAGTCGGGACCCAGGTATCCGCCTCTGGAAGGGGAAGGGCTGCGCCTGCCGGGGGCGGGGGTGGGGGGCCTGCAGGCAGTGTGGGAGAAGTCGTAGAAATCCGGATACTCCTGCTGAGCTTCCCGAGCCTCCGTCTTGGCCTCGAGCGTGTGTTTCTTCCGAGACGTGTGCGGGTGTCTCGGGGGGACACACGACAGATGCTGCTGAGACGGCCCTGGTCCGACTTCTGACACCGGCTGGCTCAATTCTGTGTCCACAGCAAGTTCTGGAAGCCTCCGGTCCTTGAGTGACAGAGTGGACACCCCCATGGCGATATCTGGCATCAGGTCGTTGAGGGCGGGTTGTGTGCACTGCAGCCAGACAAAGGGAGAGGCGGGCTTAGACGGTCCCCTCCCGTCCCCTCCACCCTGCGCCCCAGGCTGGAGCTTCCCACACACGAGGCGTGGGCCTCTGAGCCCTGCTTCCTCATACAGAGGAATCAATTTGCAACAATGATGAAAAGAAAGGAAAAAGTTTAACTCCCCAATAACTAACTTTCCCAATGGACATAACCACTGTTAGAATCCTGAATTATTTCTTTTGCCTTTCCTTTTTGTTTGCTTTGTTTTTCATTTTTAGGCTACACTCAGCAGTGCTCAGGGCTTACTCCTGACTGTGCTCAGGGATCACTTAGCGGTACTTGGGGGACCACACAGGATGCTGGGGATCGAACTTGGGTTAACCCTGTGCAAGGGAAGCACCCTACCAACCACACTCTCTCTCCAGCCCCTCACCTTTCTTTGTAAATTATTAGGTTTCCTGAAATTGAATACAGACATAATCCTGTCACTCTGCCCTGACAACGCTACGTTATCACTGGGTACTGTATCAGTAAGGCAGGGCTTACCTAACTTTTTTCCTACTGGTGGATACTAAGGTTAACTAATATTTCATTATTACAATTAAGACCGGAATGATCTTATAAATAGAACCTCGACATAAACGGGATTCATTTACAATACAACGTAAGAGACATTTTAAAATTCTGAAACCATGGGCTAGAAGGGTAGAAGTTTCAGTTCAGTATATTAAACACTTTTAACCTTGTTTTCTTCTTCTGGGGAGCTTTGGGGGTGATGGAACATTAGACAACAAGGTGTAAGAAGGAATTAAAAAAAAAAAGTATTTCCTTTCCCCCAAATGTACTCATTAAGCATTTATAAGTATATTCTTGGAAAAATCCAAGACTCATCACTGAAGTTATTAGCTACCAGCAGTAACTAAAGTGATTCCCGGGAAAATGAGTATTCTGATGAGTGAGTTTGCCAAACGTTGAGACCATCATGGGAACTGATTTTCTGCCACCTTGTCCCTGGCAGAAAAGGTACACTTATCAGGAACGTCCCCCGCTCTGGTTCCATCAAAGTATCTGGCATTGTACAGAAGTCAGGGGCAGTCTATAGGTATGTCCGAACTGAACATGGTGATAGTCTGTTTTGTGTGTACACCCGTGCCCTACCCCCTTCTGAGTATCTGCAAATGGACATAAAGGTAAGGAAACCACTCAACTCCTCCCTCCACATACCCCTCTATCCTTCCTTACTCACCTATACCAGCCTTCTCCCAATCTCTTTTTCACAGTCCTCATATTCACTGCATAAGGGTCACAAATTTTATGTAATTTTTTTTGGGGGGGGGGCAAAAAAAAGACAGTGACTGTCATGTGCCATGATTATTATTATTTTTGGCTTTTTAGCTCACACCTGGTGATGCTCAGGGTGACTCCTGGCTCTGCACTGAGGAATTCATCCAGGCGGTGCTCAGGGGACCATAGGGGATGCCCAGGATCGAATCCAGGCTGGCCACATGCAAGGCAAACACCCTACTCGCTTTACTATTGCTCCAGTCCCAGGTGTGCAGTAATTTTTAATTGCATCAGTTCTGGCAGGGCATGGAGGGACCATATGTGGTGCTGGGGACTGAACCCGGGTTGGCTATGTACAAGGGAAATGTCCTACCTGCTGTATTATCTCTTTGGCCCCTGAAAAAATATTTTCAACTGTGCTGATGTTATCAAAAAATCATTTACTCTAGGGCTGGCGGTAAGGCACGTGCACTGGATGAGGTAATAGCACCACTGGTTTGCTCGGCAGTATGGCCCTGGGTTCCCAGAGCACAGCCCCTGGGCACTGCTGAGTGTGTAGCCTGAACCCTTTCTCCCATCACCTCCCCCCATTTATTCCTAAACTGCTTACAATCATGCGAAGGGGGGGGGCGGGCTAAAAGCCAGCTTCTGGATTGGAAAATCAGGTGTGAGGATTATGTCGCAAAGTCTGGGTTTATGAGCTACACTTCTGTTCCCCGGGGGGTGCTGGTGGGATCTCTCTGCACAGAGGAATTGCCCCTGACGGTTCGAGAGCTTTAGGCAAACCACTCGAGTGCTAACTCACCACTTGCTTCTCTGGTGCTATCGCTGCGGACGCCGTGGCAGCAGCTACCGTCTGTCTCCCCAGCCCAGAGGGGGTGGTACAATCAGGGGCTGCCGCTTTGACACCTGGCAAGTAGACGGGCGGGGGGCCAGCTTTCGGGGCTGTTCTGGAGTGAAACAGCGAGTGATTGCAGGGGTAAGAAAAGGACCGTGACGGCTGCTGACTGGGAGGTCTTTGTTTCCAGCCTGCCTTGAGTTGGTTATGGAGCGGGGTCGCTGGAGGGTGGTACGGTGGCGGTGGAGGGGGCAGGGGCGGATGAAAGGCCACAAAAGAGTCCAGGTCTGTAAACATGGTTTCTGCTGCAGGGGTGCTGTTCACGCGACACCTCCCGGCCTGTGACTGCCTCATTGTCAAGAGTGGACTCTCATCTCCAAAACGTTCATCTGGAAAGAACTTGTGAGGGTTCTGAAAAGGAGGAAAATGATGAATTAGCACATTTATTAGCAGATTTCCAAGATGGGAATGTAGAGACTGGGAATGTTAAATAATGAAGAAAAACACATTTGGTGAGAGTGAAATGTACAATGTACATCCGAGGTCAGGAGTCCAAGGGAATATGACCTCTGCAATAGCACAGAGGGCAGGGCACACACCGTCACCTGAGATACAACATCAAGAGCTGCTGCATCAACTGTTCCAGCAAGCAGACCAGGAACCTCTTACAAGAGATTATGGCTCATGCAAACACACAGGAAACAAAACCTAATTTAAACATGCCCTTGCTGAGAAAACAAATTACTATTAAATATCAAAGGAAGAGAGGCATATAAATGAGGACACTCCTAGAACTTTCAAAATACATTTATATATTCTCAACCTAAAATAAAATTCAGGGCCTGGTGGAATAGCAGGGACTTAGAGCACTTGCCTTGCAAGGACATGGTCATGAATTTAATCCTGGGGTCCACCGTGAACCAGGCGTGATCCTGACTGCCCTGCTGGGTGCTTTCTGGCCACATCACAGCCACGTGAGCAAAACACCACAAAAGGGTGCACTCTCCAGCAACCGGAGCAACTTGCTGCAGTTACCCTCGGGGAACACCTCAACTGACGGAGGGCAGACTGTGGTGAGTGCTAAGGCAGGTGTGTAAACAGCCTGAGTGACAACCATGGCCAGCAGCACAGCCAGAAAGGTCAGGTGTTAACAGAATAAGAACAACGCCCATGGGGCCTGGGGTTCGAGGACGCTACCTGCACATTCCTTGGCAGTCTGATGCCACCCGCTGCTTGGATGACTGCCCGGAGAGAGCCGGGAGTCAGCCTCTGCAGGAGAGTCATGCTGTCCTCATGCTCTGAGACAGGTATGGGAGGGTCTCCGAAGCCTATCCAGTCCACCTTCACCAAGCTGTAGAAAGCACTTGATTGAGGCTCTTCGGGGGTCAAGTTTGAATGTCCTGGCCAACAGGGGATCCACATCTCCAGGAAGTGAGGCTGGGGGCTGGAGACAGTCTAGGGGCTAAGACAGCCCTTGCATGTGGCGGGCTGACCTGGGTCGGATCTCTGACACCACATATGGTCGCCTGATCAACATCAAGAGCGATCCCTGAGGACTCCCAGGTGTGGCTCAAAAAGTAAAACACCAAAACAAAAGAAAACCTACCTCTGACCCTCAACTCCAAGTTTAATGTGCAGTGAGCCTAGCGCATCTAAAGGCAGGGGGTCTAACATGGCTCACCCAGATGGTTGTGGGGTCAAAGGTACCCCCCCCGGACAAATGGGGGCATTGATTCTTAACAACCATGGAGCTGTCTCCCCCTGGGTTGTGTCCACCTACTTCTTACCCAAAAAGACAATGAAGAGCACAAATCTGTTTTTATCCATTACACGTTAACAGATGCAACTATGGTTACTCCATATTTTGAGAATATTTATGGGGATACTTAAACTATAAGCCTTATATATAATTTAAGATATCAAACATACAATTCAGAATATCAGAGAACATTGAAACAAATAGAAAATAAGACCATGTTAGGGATAAAAAATCAGAATAAAAATGGATATGGAAACCAAGTCTGGCTGGTGAGGTGGCGTGAGGCCCTGGCAGAGCAGAGCACAGCATCAGACTAAGGGGCAGAGTGAGCGGTAAGAAAACAGTTCAATCACTTGCTCACATGAAATTACATTTTTCAGGTTCTGATTTAGTGGCTGTGAGCAGATTATAAATGCTAGTAGCTTCATTTCAAAACCAATGCCATTGTTTTTTGTATGTGATGATTAATAGAAATGAGTTTTCCCTTGCTTGTTTAAAATAAACAAACTACTCATTTATGGATTCTTGGGCTCATAGGTTTGAAATGTCATGCAAAAATTGTCTGGAAGGAAGGAGAGGGAGAGGGTCTGGGAAGACCCATCAGCTTGGTAGCTGACCAAAACCCACGCTCCAGCGACCAAGCGAGGGATGGGGACAATGAAGGGTCAGCTTTTCCTGCTTCCCTATCACCTCTGTTGGCACACCCAGCAGAGCTCAGCGACCACCACACACATCTGGATGACACGAGACACACAGAACACACCGTCTTTGGCTCACCCAAGTTACAGTATGGAAACTTATCCTCACAGTGGGAAAGGTGCTTGCTCTAAATGAACTAGTTACGGAGCGGAGCCAGGATATCCATGCAGTTCTCAGTTCTAAGCACGTGCTCCGCCTGTTCTTCTATCATACTGCCTCTCTCTCGGGGGCAGGTTGCCAGTTACTCGACATACTAGGCCTGGTCAAAGAGCACGTCCTGGGAACGCGTGAGAGCTGCGAAGGGCTCCGTGGGACGAGCTTCGACAAAGCCTGCGCCAGGGCCGAGACTGAAGGAGGGCTCCTACCTGCAGGAGCTCTGCAGCCGCGTCTGCCAGGCCAAACTCTCTCAGCACTCGGATCTGAATCTCGTAGCTCACGGTGGCCCCCTCACCACAGTTGAGTGCGTAGGCCCGCTGCACCCGCTCCGTGTGGCGGAGCTCCTGTAGACGACGGACCATGTCCTTCATGATGAGCAGACGAGGAACTGGGGGGAGAAGGACATGTCAGCAAAACACCCGAGCTATGCGAAAGACCACCCCACCCCAGCCCACAGAAATAGTGGCAATCGGACACTTTTTTCCACAGCACATTTTTAGTGGCCTGGCAACACAGAAGTCATATACTTCCAACAATTTTCTAAAGTTTTAACGTTTCACGGTGCCCCCAAATTTCTTGATTTTTACCAACCAGTTCTCAATCTGTATTATGTTATTCCAAGTCTATTTTTGGTGTTGTTTTTAGACCACAGCTGGCTGTGTTTATGGCTCTGCACGAAGGGATCACTCCTGGGTTGGCTTGCGTGCAAGGCAAGAGCCCTACCCCATGCACTATCTCTCTGGACCCATTTCTCTCCATATTTTAAATCAATGCAGTTTAAATAAATATGTAGTAGCTAAATTTGACAAATCAACAATCAATCAGATATTAGCCTGAGAACAAAATATATGTGCTCAATTGAACTTCCTGTCACTGTCTCTTATTATTTAACTGAAGTAGATAAGCGGAAAACAAATGATATTTTCAATAACGCCATTTATCTACTTACTCGTTATAATCTTGTGAGGCTAACTGGCAAAGAGTTTCTGATGCCTGTATTATTGCTACTCCTTCTTCTTCAGAAAATGCCACTAGAAAACTTTGGTTAAAGTACTCGAAAGTTTTTGAGACACAACGGTTATACTTCTACTGCTTATTTCTTCAGATTTCTAACATGCAATATATAAGTCTACACTATAATAAAACTTACAAAGCAGATCTTGGGAGACGGGATCTCAGGGAAAACAAAGGTGATGATATTTTGGGGGACATATCACTCTCAAAAGATATTATAATATTGTCTCCAAAGGATCTGATAATGTGAAAACTTTCTTATAACAAACCCAATTTCTGGGCTGGAGAGATATTACAGCAAGTAGGATGCTTGCTTTGCATGTGGCTGACTGGGTTTGATCCTGGCACTCTGCCAGGAGTGATCCCTGAGTGTAGAGCCAGGAGTAAGGCCTGAGCAATACTAGGTATGACTCAAAAACTAAAATGAAAACCAAACTATAAACCCAAAACCAAACAAATCCAATTTCTTCTAAACCAGTGTTTCTCAATATGTGATTCTGATTCCACTGAGGACATATGGCAATGTTTAGAAACATAAGACTATTGTTAAAAGAATTTGGGGGGAGGGGCAGGGTAGGGAGGCGGTGGCAGCATGCATGTATGGATGTGTACATGAAGCGTGCACGTACACCAAACCATTGACATGGGCTGAGACCTGGCGGTGAAGCTGTGAACACCTCATAATGCGCAGGACAGACATAACACAGAATTAGTTTGCATGTCAAGAGGAAAGAGGCCTAAGATAGAGAAACCCTGGGTAAAATGACAAACTGGTACACAATAGTCAATGCAAATGCAATACAAAACTCTGAGCTTAGGAGTGTGCATTCTTTAAGGTGGTCAGTGCACAGTGGGTACTGGAATGCGGAGAGCTGCAGAATCTATGAAGCGGTTACGAAAGGTGAACAGTGATCACGGAAATACAACTACCTGGAATTTCGTTGGCCACAACTGAAGGAGGGCTGGACTGGTTACTACTGATCTGCTGATGGCTGATCATGTGACAGCACTGTGGCACGGCATTGCTGACCATGTACAGCGTATCTGGCACGTTGGACATCCTGACCATCCGCAAACGCACAAGATCTGTTTGTTCCACCATCATCTCGTCTAGCACTGACTGAAATGACAATTCAACATCATACAGTTAGGCTTGTATCATACACCCTTGTCCTATCCAGGGAGCTTACTGCTTCTAGTGGTCAGGGCTTCATGGTGGAATGTGGGGCAACGGGGAGGGGTGTGTGTGCGTATGTGTGTGCCTTGTGCCACCAAGCATGTGACTTCAGTCCTTTGAACATCTCCTCCATACCGAGTCCTTCTAAGTTTTACTTATTACACAAAATTACCGTGGTGCTCACAATGGGTGGTGCTGTGGGGAAGAGGATGAGGTTCCAGGGATCCAACCTAGGGACTCAAGTATGCAAGACTCTGGCTCTGCTATTTGAGTCGGGTAAGGTGACTGAAATGTTTGACACTTTCCCCCAGCATTACTAAGAAAAAAATCATTGTCTGAGAAGTTTTTTAACTGAAGTATCTGAAATCTAGAGGAGGGCTATGAAAGTACTCAGAAGTTGGCTTTCCACTTTGGAGAAACTCATGTTCTCTCTTGAGCACATATCTTGTGTGCGTGTGTGTTTTTCTTTCTCCTAATCCCTCACCCTTCTCTCTCATAGTAAAGTTACAACAAAGAAAACATTATGGGGCTGGAGAGAACTCAACAAGCTAAGCACATGCAAAGCCCAGACTCGATTCGTGACACGGCATGTTTTCCCGGCATGGCTAGGAGGCTGCAAGACAGAAACAACAGACGGAAGGAACTCTGTGCACCGGGGCATCACATGGCCCTTGGCGGCGATCATGTTGGAGACCAGACCCTGGTAGTTGTAGGGTGTGAGCTGGCTGACAGTGTAGCATGCTGGGGCAGAGTGGGGGCACACTGTGGTCAGGGACACTTTAGTGCCCGGCATCCTTTTAGTTTATAAAGACAAAAGGGCCACAGTCTTCTTGTAGAATACCTTTTCTATCTTGAAAATCATGAAATCTGGAAGTCTTGGCAAGGCTAGGGATGAGGTACAGTGGCAGGGCACGCGCCTGGGTGAAGTTGGGTTCGACCCCGGCATCACAAACACAAACAACAAAAGCAAAATTTTAGCAAAAACAAAGCAAAAATTCAGCAAAACAAATTCTTCCATGTTAATCATCTGCAAGGCAACTGAAAGGAGAAAAACACAAAATGCGACTTAACACACTGCAAATGATAAAACCATGCTCCACAGTTAGATTTCAGGAAACTATTAAGTAGGCGAAGGAGAATTTACTGTCACTTTCCCTATCACAGACATTTTGGTGACTTCCAAATCTTTAAATTACACACATATCTGCTTACAGCCGTGAAACACTCGCCCACTACATTCAATACTTTCCATTACCTTTGCTTCTTCCACGTAGGGGGAGAACAGACGAGGGCGCACATAGATCCCAGCATTTTTTTGCCGTAACCAGGCATTTGACTTGCCGCCTTCCGTTGTAGGAAGCATATCTGATGGAGGAGTACTAATCAAGCCTCTTTTCATCTGAAAAAAGAAGTGTTTTTTAGATAAACTGGTGACCTGGTTGGCAGTACAATACTACCAAGATACATTTAACTATATGTGTAATGAAACAATGTTCAAACTTTACCTCTTGATTAAGATTTATCATAAGAGCTGGAGAGACAATACAGCTTGCCTTGTACACAGCCAACCTGGGTGGCATACCATATGGTCCCCCAAACACTGTCAGGAGTGATTCCTGAGCAAAGAGCCAGGAGCCAGCCCTGCACATCACTGGGTGTGGCCCAAACTGCCCTTTAAAAAACAAAAAACTTTACCTGTAAAATAAAATTTTGTTTTTTATTTATATTTTGCTTTTTTGGCTACACTCAGTTATTCTCAGGACTTGCTCCTGACTGTGCTCAGGGGTCACAACTGGCGGTGCTCAGCAGACCATATGAAGTGCCAGGGGTCAAAGCAAGCTGCTCACCTGCTGCACTCCCCCTGGCCCTTAAAATATATGTAACATTCAAGAGGAGCAAAGGGAGTGTCCTTTTAAAACTCAAGCAAAATGGGTGTTTGTCTTGTATCCTGTCAATGTGAACAAAAGAATTTTAGGAACCGTGAACTATATGTGAATTATAAAATACTTTAAATATTTTCTAGAGCATTCAACAATAAAAAGGCACTATGTATCTCCATTTATTTTTTTCTCTAATAAGCGATTCCTCCGCCCCTCTCGGAGAGCCCGGCAAGCTACCAAGAGTATCTCGCCTGCACAGCAAAAGCCTGGCAAGCTACCCGTGATGTATTCAATATGCCAAACACAGTAACAGCTCTCACGATGGAGACGTTACTGGGCTCGCTCAAGAAAATCAGTGAACAATGGGAGGACCGTGATCGTGACTGAGTAAGAGGTTTTTTTTTAGTCTGGGTACACCCAGTGGTGCTCAGGGATCACTCCTGGAAGGGCTTGGGGGATCATATGGGATGGGATGCTAGGTAAGGAACCCTGGTTGACCATGTGTAAGGCAAATGCCCTACCTGCTATACTACTGCTCTGGCCCTGAGGATTTAAAAACAAAAAAAACCCCAACAACAACACACCAACAAAAAACAAACAAACCCCAAAAACAGTATTAAAAGTAATGAGTCAGACTAATTTTTGGAATTTCTTTATATTTTTGGGCCATACCCAGCTGTGCTCAGGGCTTACTTCTGGCAGAGCATGTCAGACGATACGGATGATGAGAATGAAGTCTGAGTTGCCACATGAAAGGCAAGTGCCCTACCCACTGTGCTATATCACTTCAGTTCTGGAGGTTTCCATTTCTAAGTTGGTGGTCGTGATGGTCAAATGTAGGTGATGCAGATGTGATACTGCGCACACACTAGGTGCGATATAGCTATCAGTCCTTACAGACAGACCATGATTGAGGGCTTATGTGTTAGACAAGGAATTAAGAGAAAAACAGACATTTGCTAAATATATCAAACCAAAATTCTAAAGTGTTTTTCTAAGCCAAATTCAGGACTCAATTTGGTTTGAATCCCAGGTTTTAAACAAAATCAAATATTGCCTTTCATTACTACTGTTAAATACAACAAACATTTAAGTCCTACACTAGTTAATTTAAGCTGCTGTGTTGGGGGGTGGGGGCAGGGACTGAACTCAGGTATTATGCATGAAAGGCATATACTTTATTACGAAGTCAGCTTGCCAGTCCCACGAACTGTTTTGCTTTTATGTCATGCCTGGCGGTTCTTAGGGGTTACTCCTGAACATACCTGGGGTCACTCCCAGTGGCGCTCTGGAGACAACGTGATGCTGGGCACTGAACCCAGAATGCCAGCATGCACACACGACCCTTGAACTAGCCCCCTGACCCTCCCGTCCTTCTATAATTAGGCATGGTAATTTACAGAGTTATTCATGATAAGGGTTTCAAGCAAAGAAGTTCCAGCACCAAAGCCACCTTCCCTCCACCAAATAGGCTTTTTTTCTTTCTTTTTGGGTTACACCCAGCGATGCACAGGGGTTCCTCCTGGCTCTGCACTCAGGAATTACTCCTGGCGGTGCTTGGGGGACCATATGGGATGCTGGGAATCGAACCTGGGTCGGCTGTGTGCAAGGCAAACGCCCTACCTGCTGTGCTATCGCTCCAGCCCCCTCCACCAAGTAGTTAATAACTAATAAAACACTGGATAATATTTAAAAAATAGAAAAAAAAACCCAACTCTCTCTATAGCATTGCACTGTTGCACTGTCCTCCCGTTGTTCATCGATTTGCTCGAGTGGGCACCAGTAACATCTCAACAAATTGTGAGACTTGTTGTTACTGTTTTGGCATATCAAATACGTCATGGGTAGCTTGCCAGGCTTTGCCATGCGGGCGAGGTACTCTAGGTAGCTTGCCGGACTCTCCGAGAGGGGCGGAGGAATCAAACTAGGGTGGGCGGCTTGCGAGGCAAACACCCTACACTGTTCTATCGCTCCAGCCCAATTCTCTCTATAACTATAATAATGCTGATGTATTTCCTTAGCTGTTTCTCAAGTGAACTTCTACATAAATGAATTCTAGAATATACTGAGGATTTATTTTGTATCTGTTTAGTGGCGTATTCGATATGCCAAAAACAGTAACACGTCTTACAATGGAGAGGTTACTGGTGCTCACTTGAGCAAATCGATGAACAATGGGAGGACAGTGCTACAGTGCTGTTGCAGGGGAGGGATACGGGCAGTGATTCTCCTGACTGGTGGCTCAATGTAAGGGTCCGAGGATGAGGTGCTGCTCGAGACCTGCTGGGCCAGAGATTTCTCAGGCCACTCCTGTAGTGCTGGGAACCTCTGGGGATCTGATAGTGCCTGGGATGGAAGCAGGGTCAGCCGCACATACCTTCATCCCACATACCTCTCCACTATCTCTCCAACCCCTGTATCCTTCCTTCCTCTTAAAAGTTATACTTTAGGGGTCAGACAGTCCATTGGCAGGGCTCTTGCCTTGCTCCTCATGGCTGACTCGGTTTGATCCCTGACACTCCAAATAGTCCCCTGACCCCTGCCAGGAGTGGTCCGTGAGTGCAGAGCCTGGAGTAAGCTCTGAGCATTGCCAGGTATGGCCCCAAAAATCAAAACTGAAAGAAAAAAAATTCTATTCTATCATTAGCACATACTGTGCAACTATATATTAATCCTTTTGTTGTTCTGGGGCCACACCCAGCAGTGCTCAGAGCTAACTCCTGGCTCTATACTCGGGTCACTTCTGGTAGTGACTGGAGGACCATGTAAGGTATGAGGGACTGAGCCTGGCTAACTGTGCTTTAACTCCTTTAGTATTATCTCTCCAGCCCAACTGCTGTTCACCATAGCACAACGCTCTGCAAATAGATGTGCTATAATTCACTTTCATGTACCTTGTTTTCAGGCACTTAGGTTATTTCCAAATATTTCATGATAAAACTCCTAATGTATCAGCTAAGGTTTCCCCATGGAAAAGTAGTAGCATTTTAAAAATTGCTAATAGGCAAAAATGATAAATTACTGTTTTATTTTGCTTTCTTTGGTTTATGTGCTTGGAAGTGAGACTGAACACAATTTTTCTAATCAGATTTCATAAATATTTAATTACTTTCTACTAGTTTTCCCATGTTTAATTTAATATTTAATTATTTATCTAACAGGGATTTTGTGTACAAGTGAAATGAAGCTTCAACATTAAACAAATCTTCTTCCTGTCCCACTCACTGACTTGTGACCGGGTAATACTACATGCTCAATTTATTAACTGAGATTCTTTTCTTGACTATTTTCTTTCATATGTTATGCTATCATAACAAATTAAACATCAGTGTTTTAAATATATTTTACATCCTGGAAGTATTATCCCTCCCTTCCTTATGCTTTTTTTTTTAGAGAATTAAGACTTTTTTTTTCAGATTTCAAATATTCCTTTTTTGGGGAGTGGGGGAGTAGTGTGTGAGTTTGGGTCACACCCAGCAGCTCAGGGACTATATGGGGTATTGGCCATGTGCAAGGTGAATGCCTTACCCCCTTGTACTCTCTCTCCGACCCCTCCAAATATTCCACTTTTATGATGGTTCTGTGCAATTAAAAAAAAACTTGAGAGATATAAAACATTTGCTATGAGCAAATTTTTGAAGAACTTACAATTTTCCTTAATCCAATAATGAACAATTCTATTATTACTATTCTTATTACTTGTGGGGGCTGTATTGGGACATACTCCACAGTGCTCAGGGCTCACTCCTGGCTCTGTGCTTGGATAATTTCTGTTGGTGCCTGGGGGACCATCTGGGGTGCTGGAGATGGAAACTGGATGAGCAGCTTGCAAGGCAAGTGCCCTGCCTTGCTGTACCGTCTCTTTGGCCCTGAGAGAATTCTATTATTAAAGAAATTAGCCTTTAATCATTCATCTTTTACATCAAAAACTCTTGCTCCCTGATTAATTTCTATAAGCATCACCAAAGGCAGTTTCTACCTTTTCCTTTTTGAATAAGGATGTGCTGACAAATGGTTGAATTCATTCCCCAGAAACTATCCTCATGCAAGACTAAGACTGACAGTCACCCACTCAACTCTCAGGCACCAAAACATTGATTTGTGCCATGTGCCAGCCACAGGCAGACATCTGTCACTGCCCTCACGGAATTCACCGACTCACACTGTTCTCTAAGAACCAGAAATCTTTCACAAGGATTCCAAAGGAGCGCCTGCATTCCCATGCACCTTCTGTTCACGAAAGGGATATATAGGCAGAGACTCACCGTGTCACTGAGGACTTCACTGTTGGTGGGTAAGATGTGCTCGATCCGCACGAAAGGCAGGATGGAGGAGAGGATCTCTCTCAGTTCTTCCATGTCCAGGTCTCGTCTTTTCACGCCTCTTTTGTTCACACTGTGAGCAGTACCGCTTAGTAAGTTCGGTTCTAGGAGACAGAAAATGAGGAGTCTCAGACCAAATCCAAATTTTCAGAGAAACCTTTTGTTTCCTAGATTACTTTCAGGAATATAACTTTTACTTAAGTACATCTGCTTTTAGAAATGGCTACAAATAAACGCTTTTCAAGTCTGAGAGCTTGATGGAGATGTTTATGGACAAATTTTTTGTGTGACATTTCTGCATTACCCCCCCCCCCCCCCCCCCCCCACTTTCCTCACACACTAAAGTCAAAGGAGAGAAAGATTCAAATTTTCCCTGGCCACAGTTCTCAAAGCTCTCTCACTGTTGTGAATGATGCTCTGGACAGTAAGAGCACTGCAGGGCCGTGCTGCCCAGCACGCTCACTGGGCTGTGAGATCTCCAACAGCAACAGCAAGTCACCAAGCTGTGAACCAGACAGTATCTCTGGCAGCTTTTAGATGTTTTATGAGGCCTCCTAAACTTCATACTTATGAGAATGTTAATACGCAAGAGGCAAACCCTCACCCTCTGCATGTAATATATTCCCACTATTTATAGTACAGTATTAGAAAGAGGTATTATAGTGAAGGGGTCGTCTTTCACCGACTCAGCGAAATTCTTTCTTGAAATTTTTATCAAATGAAATCTCTATCAACTATGAATAGAAATACTAGATTTCAAGCAAACGCTGCATTGGCAAAGTGGTAGTTCCCTTAAATCATGTGATAGATGAAAGTGTGATTCCCTCTTGCCTTGCTATGATTTGTCTATACTTATCCAAGGCAATTCTTAAAAAAAAAAAATTTCCTCTTAAAGCGGTTGTATCCTATTTTCAAATAAAATACTTTTTTTTTTTGAGTGGGGAAGGCCACATCACATCTAGTGGTAGTCGGTGGCTGGGGCCATTCCTGGCGGAGTTCGGAGAACACGCAGTGCAGAAGTGTTCGGGGTTTTGACATGCAAAGCATGACCTCTGAGCCATCTCCCTGGCGCTCAAATAAACTCTTCACAGAATTTCCAAATATGTAAAGGGCCTCAGTAAAGAAGGTCACTGAAACAAAGGTGCAGAATGATCCTTTTATCTTTCTTCTCATCCTTCTGGAAGAGTGTCCCACTCAAACTACACTGACAACTACTGTTTGAAGAAGAATTTCATCAACAATGTTCATTATGTGCCCAAAACAAATATATTTCATCATCATCAACCTCACATCAAAGAATAACTGATGTGAAGTAATAATTTTGTGGTGCTATGTACAGTTAAATCTTGGTACCTGAAGTGGTTCTGTTCTATAAAGTTCAACTAAGTCAGTGGCAACTGAAACACTGTCTCAAGGGAAGCAGGGCTGGGTTCCCGACAGCTTCAGCTCACATTTTTGCTAACTGATCACAACTTCACTGTTTCATGTGTGTCTGCTTCAAGATGTTTTATTAATATATACCGCTAAATCACTAACACTGAATTCACTGTAACTCCTGCTTGAGTTTAGCTTCTCTAATATACACACATAGAAAGATGATATAGGAAGTTTTAGAGTTATGGGGCTGGAGAGATAGGGAGGGTGATTGCCTTGCCTGTGGCTGACCCAAATTCAGTCCCTGGCACCACGTATGGTCCTCTGAAACCCTCTAGTAGTGATTCTTGAGTGCAGAGGCCAGGAAGAAGCTCTAAGCACTGCCATGTAAGGCCCCAAAACAAAAATGCAATTTTAAAGTTGTGAAACAAAATTTTCTGATAACTCTAACGGTCAGGGTCCTCCTGTTGTTCATCGATTTGCTCAAGCGGGCCCAGTAACGTCTCCATCGTGAGACTTGTTGTTACTGTGTTTGGCATATTGAATACATCACAGGTAGCTTGCCAGGCTCTGCCGTGCGGGCGAGATACTCTCAGTAGCTTGCCAGGCTCTCCAAGAGGGGCGGAGGAATCGAACTCGGGTCGGCCATGTTGGCCGCTTGTAAGGCAAACGCCCTACCACTGTGCTATCGCTCCACCCAACTCCCTAACAAAGCACCAAAATATCTTCTGTGCTAAATAAATTAAGCAGTTCTTTTATTTATTTATTTTTTAAAGTGTTTTATTTTCTGTATCACACCTGGCATGACTAAGGGGTTACTTCTGGCTTCGCACTCAGGAATTGCTCATGGCAGTACTCAAGGGACCATATGGGATGCTGAGGATTGGACCTGGGTCAGCTTCATGCAAGGCAGACACCCTACCCACTGTACTATCGCTCCCACACCCATTTAAGCAGTTCTGTTTGAGTCAGTAAATGGTGACCAGGATGCATCATTTTAATATTTTTTTGGAATACACTTAGAGACAAGTTAATTTTCTGAGCTTACCTCTGTCTGCTATTCTTCTCATCAACTGATGCTCACCCCATTTAATCAAATATTTAAGGATATCTTGTTCACTTGCCTATAATAAAAAAAATTCATATTTATTGGTTAATTTCATTAGTGACTTTTTCTGGGTCATAATGTAAATACAGCGTGCAACTTACCACATTTCATTCTTCATATCAACTGTCTGAAAGACCTGTGTTAAATCTATTGTTCATCAACCGCAAATATACAAGGCTGCATTATATGCATCTGGTCTAGTAACCACTCTTCGTTGCAATTATTATTTTTTTTTATTCTTATACTCATCTTTTGAGTTTTTAAAAATTCTCTTTCCTTCACCTATTTACATTTATTTTCTCCCACTAGAGGGCTTCTGTATAGTTGCCCTCATTTTGGGGGACAAGATGGACATAAATAGAGTAAAAGTACAGAGATACTGAGCTACTACTCAAAGGAACCCAAGAAAAACTAATGGGGTCTCCTTATTTTCCCAGACGGGACTCTCACTGGCATGAACTGTGCAGGGCCCTCCAAACATACTCTGGGCCACAGCAATGTGCCCTTCATTTCTTTGTGCCTGATTTACACTCTTTAAGGCCCGATTTTACTCTTTGAGCATCTTTCTGCCTGATTTACACTCTTTGGGCATCTTTGTGCCTGATTTACACTCTTAGAGCACATCAAGGTTGTGCTCCAGGTTTTTACTTTCTAAAAAGCACAAAGCTTCCATAATCTGAGAAAACTGACAAATCCTAATGCCCATAATCACAAAGTTAATGAACACAGATTCTAAATAAAACAGATCTGATAATGACAGCATTTGTAGCGAAATCAAAGCCACGCATGAAAGAAAAGCCCAGACGCTAATTGTTGCTTAAGTGTAAACTGCACTTCCAAGTGAGAGTGTTTTACTGTTTTAGTGTTTTTTCTAGAACAAATGCAAAGTAGGAAATGGCTCAGTGGGCCCTTAGATTACTCAAACTTCTGTACAATTCAGCAGAGTTCATACAACCTAACACAAAAAACAAAACCCCCTAAACACCCACCTCCCCCCATTAAACAAATGCACTAAACTTGAACATATTGTACCTGAAAGCATTCTTTTCAGTACTTAAAATCTATTGTTGGATCAGACTAATATACAAGTCTAGGGCAGAAAATTGGGAAATGCCGAAAACACTGACCTCTGGCAGGACACATACAAGTGCTTGGGCAGATTAGAAATTGAACATTATACTTACTCTGTTACTATGTACAGTCTAATTATCTGATACTCCAGTAAATATAAGAGATCACTAGGGTAAACCTACTATTAGCGGAAGCCACGAAGACCCTGGCTGCGATATGTCTCTGACCGTGCGTACCACACCCTGCTGGTGCAGCTGGTTAGGACCAGATTTCATCCCAAGGTTGAGTCACAGCAGCACTGCACCCCAGGGTCCCAAGGGCCAGACACTGGTTGACAGATCTGGAGGGGTCTTTCCTGGGCAGGGGGATCTCCCTATGTGGGGACAGTAACAGAGTACAGATGGAGTTCCTGGAGCACATATGAATGACAATGAATGGGAGAGATGTATAAATGATTACCTGTAGGTAGTCAGACTGGATAGCAGTAAGCAGATGGTCTTTGCTGAGTTCATAAAAAACATCCGAAGTCATGACCTGGGAAAATTCCTCACAGAGGAAATGTAAAGCTTGTCGGTGTACCCACTTAGAGCCATATGGATGAGAGCTCCACTTGAGGATGGCAATTAAGGTATCTAATGAGATGCTCTCAGCAATGATATCCTCACAGCCTAAAAGAGAAGGCAAATACTTCTTGAGATTAATCACGAATATTACTTACTAAACAGTTGTGTGTTAGGCACTATACGTAAAAGTGGCAATCGCAAAAGGGAACTGAAGGAGATAAAATCTCACGGAAATCACCAAGATTTGATGGGATGGGGTAACAGTAGACTGGAGCACCTACAGGAATCTGCAGTCCAGATACAGGTCACAGAAAAAGGCAAAGAATTCTCACAGCTGGTTCAGAAAATCAGTCTTTAGGTGCTAATCCAACAATGAGAACACTGTGGTGGAGAACACTGGAGTATAGGGAAAAAGAGCAGGGAATTATTGCCGTGGGATCTGGGGGGCCTGGTCAGTTGGAAGAAGGCTCAGGAGAGCCCTTCGCTGAGAAGAGAACGGGCGATGGAGAAGAGGCCAGGGCAGGCATGGGGAGGAGGCATGTTCTTGGCACCTTTCCCAGAACAAACAACACTTTATATTGTTGTCAGTGCTGGGATACAGACAAAATCACAGCTTTATGCTAATTTCAGACTTCAGCAGACCACAAAGTTATCAGAAACCTAAGTGAAAAAGACCTGGATTCGAGAGAAAGGAATGAAGGCACCGCACTCAGGAGCTCAAAGAGGAAGAAAAGCTGATAGCTCTTTTCCTCAGGAAAGATCTTTTAAAAAAATAAGATAAAACACAAGTGAAATCTGAGTGACAGAGACTGTGGAAAGGGAAATAGTTACAATTGGAAAGAAATTCTTTATGGCTACATTCACCATAAAATAAAGCACCAGACACAGGAAAACTAAAAAAAGGCATTTAAACACTACGACCAGCAACCGAAGCATGGCCGAATGAGCTGTTTTCCAATTAGCTCAGCACTTTGCCGGATACAGTCCCCACAATGGCATCAATAAACGCCAGAGTTTCCGAAATCCAATGTCACTGTGAAATCATCGAATGTGCAATGAGAAAGCGGCTGAATCTCATCTTGAGGTAGAGGAGATGGGGGGGTGGTGGTGGTGGTGAATGAAGAATCTGGGAGAAAGAACGCCTCCTTCCCTTTCCGGCCATGGTACCGGAAAAGGAGATTACCTCTGAGAATTGTGTCACCTGATTTCTGTTTCGCATTCAACCTAATAAGTCCTGGCACCCACACTATACCTCCTAAGACAGGGCCTGCTGTCCTGTCACCAGCTCTTTTTTGAAGACAGCAGGTGCTAAATAAAAATGTGGGAAGTGCATAATAACCGAGATCTCCAAAGAGACTGAGAGGGATGACGGCCGGGGTTAACAGTCATTTGGAAGCAGTACTGATGGACTCAGGGGCTCGGGGGTGCAGTGAGGTGTCTCTCCTTTTGCCAAGGTTACCAAGAACTTGATGAAAATGTGGAAAGTATGTCTCACAATCCTCAGATGAGCCACAATTAGGAAATAGTAAACATACCAGATAGCAGAAACCTAGCTGGCTAAAAAGTGGGGGGTCAAAATGAAGGTGAAATTTAACTAGAAAAATTAGAAAATGCAACATTTAGATGAATGAAAACTTCACAGACGACAGGGAGCATTTTGTGATTTGGAACTACCATCTCTTAAACAAGGTAACTGCTATATTTCTTTTTTTCCAAGCGAACAGACAAAAAAATGTGACAAGGCTAAGGAAATCACAGGCGTGTCAGATTATAATCAGAGTCCTAATTAAAAGAATCCTGCTACAGTGCTCTTTTGTGGGGTGCTCTGTCTTGTCCTGTTCTGGATCCTATGTTTTGGATGAGACATGCATGAAACTCCAGAATTCTCTGAGGGTCAAAGAACAGCAAAGAGCGTAAGACCTGTCACTGGAAACAAGATTACTCGGCTAGTGCTGGAGAAACCAGGAGACATACGAGCCTTATTTAAAGTCTGACAAACCTTCCTAAACAAGAGGAGAAAGATGGACTGCTCCACTATTTCAGGAGCAGGTACCGGAAAACTGGGATTACAGAGAGATTCTGACTACCTATGAAGGAATTTTTAACAAGCAGGACTGCTCTTCTCTCCTCAAAATAGAGTCTGGAAAAAGGTGGGCGTGGAGACTGGCTCATGACATCAGTCACATAGTACGACACTGCATATGAACCCAAGGTTAAACAATACCCAAGATAGCACAAATGGTCACTTTTTAAGAAAAATGGCAAACAACTTAATACTGCTACTGCAAACCACAACACCCAAAAGGAGAGAAAGAACAAAAGGGAATGCCTTGCCACAGAGGTGGAGTGGGCGGAAGGGACGGGGTGAGGGTGGTGGGAGGGATGCTGGGACCATTGGTGGTAGAAAATGGGCACTGATGGAGGGATGGGTACTCGACCATCATATGACTAAAACGCAAGCACGAACGTTTCTAAGTCTGTAACTGTACCCCACGGTGATTCACTAATAAAAACCGAAAAAAAATAAAAAAAACCCAAAGCCCAAAAATATGAAAACAAAACAAAACAAAACAAAAATTAAAGAACCAAAAAAAAAAAAAAGAAAAGAAAAAGGCAAACATCAGAGTAATTTACAAGGAATAGTAAATTATACAAGGAATAGTGAGACCATCATAAAAGGATTGGCAAGTCCTACACCCCAATGTAGGACTATGTGCTAATGAGAAGTGGGGACATGAAAGAGTCCAAATGATGCGCAGGGGCTGATGATGCGCCTTAACTGCCAGCATGAAGACAAGTGAGGATCCAGTGGAGAAAATGGGTTTGTTTTTTTGGCCTGTTTTCAGGAGGCGCTGGAATAAAGCAGAGCGGACTACCAGTCAGGCCAAAATGGCAATCTGATAGGTGTGATTGGGAGCAAAGGCCAGGAACTTTGGAGAGAGGGCAGCTGCTTCAAAGGAGGTCCTACAGTCCTTCTAAGCAAGCACACCAGCAGGGGAACAGAAACAATGAATCCCAACATCATCTATTTAAACATATGAAATGCAGAGGAGTCGCGGTGAGAAAAAAGGGGTTCTGCAGTCAGACCCATCACGATCATGATCACAACCATCCTGTTCGTCGATTGCCTCGAGCAGGCCCCAGTAACGTCTCCTTTGTCATAGCCCCGAGATTTTTTAAAAAGTGCCATATTAAAGGCTCTTCCAGGGTTAGGAGAATGAGACCCATCATTGTTACTGGTATTTGGCATATTGGGTACGCCACGGGGAGTTTGCCAGACTCTGCCGTGTGGGCAGGTTACATTTGGTAGTCTGCCAGGTTGTCCAAAGTAAGAATGAGATAATAAGATGTCGCACAGCCGCAAATGCGGCCATGCTTTTCCGGGAGCTGGGTTTTATAGTCTCTGGGTCTTGGCCGTTGATGGGATTACACGGCGCCAGGGGGCCAGTTGGTGGGTGTGACATCTGCCTACTGGAATATCGAGGATCTGGGTGGAGGATGCTCAGCCCCGATCCAAGCAGGCTTGGAGATCTCAGCCCCAGGACCCGCATGCCTTTGTTCCTCTGCCGTTACCTTCATGCGTGTGGAGAGTGGTCTCAGCATGGTTGTGGCTGGTTCTGGAGGTCAGACCCATGGGCCCTGAAATCCCTGTCCAGCTACTGAGTGGCAGTCATATTGGGCAAGTCACTTAACCTCCAGCCTGCAATGCTGCCATCTTTAAAACGGGTCTGACATTTCAGTGAGATTCTACCCCAGACACTTCATTTGCTCCAGCATCCTGGAGGATCTACTTGCCAAGGGCAGAGAGCACCCCCAGCTCTTTTCTCGTACCCTTCCCTGAGTGACCCCTTACTCCCACACTAGAGCCTTGCCTGCCTGCCTGCCTGAGGTCAGGACTTTCCAGCCTGCAGGGCTGAGTTCAAGTCCTCTCATGATTCCCATACTTGCTCCTGCACCTTCTCACTGCATAGGGATGGAGAGCGGTGGAGGTCTTGAGCACTTACGTAAAAGCCGGAACTTTAATACTATTGTAACCTGCACTACAATAGATACTTAAAATGAAAACAACCACAAAAATAATACAAAACATAAAAACCCTTCTCACTTCAGAGTCCCAGACGACATCTTAAACCCTAGTCAATTAGTTTCCTCTGAGATACCCAGCCCTCCATTTCTTCTATTTTGTGGGGAGAGATTTGGGTCACACCTGGCAATGCTCAGGGCTTACTTTTGGCTCTGTACTCAGGGATCACTCCTGGCAGGGCTTGGGGGCCATATGGGGTGCCAGAGATGGAATACAGGTTGGCCACATATAGAAGGTAAGCACCTTAACTCCTGTACTATATCTGGTCCATGTCCCTTTTCCTAATCCCTGTTATCGTCTCAATCAGCAAAACTTAAAAACACTGATACGGTGGGAGAGATACTACAGGGGTTAAGGCACTTATTTTGATGGCAGCTGGTTCCAGTTCAATTCCCAGCTCACACACAGTCCCCAACCACCACCAGGAGTGACCCCTGAGCACAGAGCCAGAAGTCCTAAGTATCACTGATTATGGCCTCCACAGCTCCCTCCACCATATCTGAGTGCAACTGCTCTTCGTCATAAACTCCGTCTTTGAGCTACTGTGTGCTATTTATGCTATGTGGGGGTGGGAAGGAGAGATGACAGGGCCACACTTAGAGGTGCCCAGGGATCACACTTGGCAGGTGCAGGGGATGTTGTGTGGTGCTAGGACTCAATCCTGGCGAGCAGTGTGCAAGGCACATGCCTTATCTACTGCTGCTTCTTTCTGGCCCCTCACTCTATTCATTTTTGGGTGGTGCTCAGGGGACCATATGCAGTGCCAGGGGTCTAACCTGGGTTGACATTATGCAAGGCAAGCACCCTATCTGCTATACTATCTCTTTGGCCCTTCTACTTTATTTAAAACTTGTTCCGGGGCTGGAGCAACAGCACAGCGGGTAAGGCATTTGCCTTGCACGTGGCAGACCTGGGCTTGATTCCCAGCATCCCATGTGGTCCCCTGAGCACTGCCAGGAGTAATTCCTGAGTGCAGAGTCAGGAGTAACCCCTATGCATTGCCAGGTGTGACCCAAAAAGG